AGCTTTCTCCCAACCTACTCCTATACCACTGAACATAGCACGTCGAGGCAGTCGGTGGTTGGGCATACGTAACACGTGTCCCATCCATCTCAACTGATGAAGTTTCACTACTTCATCAATTGATTTGCCATCCATACCTAGTACCCGTTTCCTAACAACTGTATTACTTACTCGATGGTCCCAGGATATACGAGCAATGTTTCGAAGACACCTATGATCAAATACTAGTAACCTACGAATATCCTCTACTCTTACCGGCCATGTTTCACTGCCATAAAGTAAGACGGAACGAACTGCTGCACAGTAAACACGTCCTTTGGTTGATAGACGGATATCTCGTCTACTCCATAAATGACGCAAGTTTGCAAGAACTAGTCGGACCTTCTGTATCCATGCTGAGATATCATCACACACCAGACCACAATGGCTGATGAGACTTCCAAGATAAGTGAAGCGGTCGACACGCTCATCTACTTCACTCCCTATCATTAGTTCAGGTGTCGATGCGACCCAATCCTGAAGCAACATTTTGCTTTTCGAGGGGGAGAATCGCATGCCGAACATGCTTGCATTGTTGCTTAGAGTGGTCAGAAGACTCTGCATTTTGTCAGCGTCTTCACCAAATAGAACTATATCATCGGCATATTCCAAGTCAACAAATGAATCTCCTAATAGAAGTTCAACTATTAACTTATATTAAAAAGGTAGTTTTAAGAATCAATATTAGACTTATCATTTTATTCGAAAACTCCAAAAAAACCTATCATTATTTTAAATAAGACGCAATATATGTGATATATTGTGTGACTTGGAGTTTTAATTGTACTCTCATTTCTGTCATTAATTACTTCATAATATAATCTTACACGATAAATTCTATTCTTCATGTTGAGCTGAACCAGATTTTATGTGTGTCAAAGAAATAAATGAAATAGATATTAACTATAATGGCCTAGTTGTATTATGAAAGACCTCTAATGACAGTTGTCTAATTAACAACCAACGTGAATTGAATTTATATATATTAACAAAAACAATGAATTAACATACCGTTGACTTGATTCATATTCATTAATCATTAAACAATTCATTGATTTCATAATAGTTAACCAATTATTGCATAACCAATGTGTAGATTCATTGAATGTCAGATTATCACTTGAATGTATTTTATTATGAGTATTATTACTATTAATATTCTTGTCTTTATTATTATTATTTTCATTTAATAATAACAATGGAACAATTTGTTTCAATAGTTTATGTAAAGTGATTAAATGAGTATTTGCATGAATACAATGTAAAGAATTTGTTTGATTTATGGATGATTTTAACCAAAAATTGACAACAGTACTCAGAATTGAACGAACTTCAGGTGATTCATCAAATAAACCATGAAATATACAATCCAACAATCTATTTGAAAAAAAAAACATACAGCGTAATTTGGAAGGATATGCACATTACAATTAATTAAATAAGATGCAATATTGAGAGATATTAAACCATTGTAAGATTTGCAAAGATATACACAACAGAAAACCTAATCAATCATATGATTATCAAAATGTTTTCAGTATACTTACACTGATTCATCACTGAGTACTGGACAATTTGACGTTTGTCTAGTTCATTGTACTAATTGAATTACACAAAACGAACTGTTAAGTGACGCCGACTCGAATACCACAAAGAACGTTGATTCCTTTAAAATTGTATGTAAACTTTGTTGACGAGTAACAAATAGCACGAAATCTAGGTCGTGTTTCTTACCAACTAGCTTCAAATATCTAGGATCGAAATATAGGGTACACAATGTCGATTCACTCAGGTTAGGGCCCACATTATAGCTTGACCGACAGAATTCGATAAGCATTACCAAACTAAACAAACAAGGAATTGGTCAGTGATAAATCAAATCAATCCTATGGAAGATCACTCGTTATCAGTGGTAACAGCTCTGATTGCGAAGCTGAGTGACGCACGATCAAATCAAACAAAGAGTATTGGTTAGTTCAGAACTATAGGTACGTCTTGCAGATGAGTGTGAACCACCATGAATCCTGGGTCCAAAGTGTCCTGTCGGCTAAGTCATGCCACCTAATATTTATGTCATATAAGGGGTTTTTGAATTGTTTTAATTTGAATAGTTGATTCAAAGTCCTAATTGGTGTTATGAAACAATGAAGACTTAAACTCATGAATCATATTATTTATTAATTAAACTATGATAAACTATTCTCCACCATCTCACTATTCTACACTATACTCCTCTATTTTTGTTGGTCCCTATCAGTTACAGTTACTTAGTCAGATACATATATTGATATCCCCCTCTTTCGCACAATATAAGAAAACGCAAAAATATATTTTTTATTCATCTAATCTTAATTTAATTCATTTTTGTATTGGTTGTTTGAAAAGAATGATCAATTGCAGTTCCAAACATCAATGAGAAAATCCAAACAACCAATACAAAATTAAATTAAACTTCACCCCACTGCATAATCTAGCAGCTATCTGGACTCAGTAGCTTGTTAGTGGATAACGCGATGGTATTTAGGGTGAACGGTACAGTATTCTAGTTTCTGAGTAAACATCAATTCTGGGAAGTAGCAGGTGCATCCATCTGATGAGTTCCAAATACGACAAAACGGGCGTCACCGACTCCACTGCCAGCCACAATCCATTTCTAACCCTAATTTAGTTTCAATAAAATTCTATTTAATTGGCTTGAAAAGAAACGAAATCATCATCTGCCTACGCTTTCGTCTTCAAAAAGAAATAGACTACAAAATATTTCTTTCTTCTGATCGAAAAATTATACCATAAATTAATATACAGAGAATACATACACAACAATTATACCTTTTACGTTGTGATATATTTAAAACTGATTTCATTAAATCAATCTGATTCGATATTGACGGTGATTTTGTAGCATTGTCAGGATGGAATTCCAACGTCCATAATTGTAAAGATTTTGAAGCTAAAATTCGCGATTCAGTTGAATGCTGATATTGTAAGCAATCACTTAGTAAAGTAAGCCATTGATCCATATAACTGTCATTAATGAATATGGAAAAAAAACGACAATTTATCTTAAAATACAAAGAAAGACTATTCATTTTCGGTTCATCATAAAAATTAATATCAATACATGAAAACTTTTCAGTAGAACAATGTAGTTCAATAATAGTAATTATTTATCTAAAAGCTACTTCTAATCGAAAGCTACAAGTCGATGGTGAATAGATAGCTCACGACTTATATTGAGTGAGTGTAGATCATGTCACATGGAAAATTGATTGAACAGTTGAACGTGGACCGCTAGATTTCGGCTTCACAAACCAGTTATCACGCATATCGAGAGATCAGTCGAGTATGAATTGGATCCAGTATAGCGACACGTTTTGAAGAGTATCAAATTGAGAAGAAACAACCATAGTTTGTTTCCGAATTTCTAGTAGTTTTTTTTATTTACGCTCACGTCTACTCACCATCTTAGATTTTTAATTTTTTTCAGGAAAGCTATCAATGAAAATCTCTGCTTAGTTGCTCTAGTCGATTAATTAGATTCTAAAGCATGAATTCCTAGGTGATATGAAAGTATCAGCAGCAAGATCTAAATGACTTCGAGTTACTGGTGTACACAAATGAAAAGTTAAAAACTTAGTTGAGCCGTTGTCTTATACTTTCTGCTTACTGATAATCCTGCAACTGATGTCAGTTCATGAAATAAACTATGCATACAACAATGTTAAAAAAGGATGATTATGATTCACTAAAATATCTTAAGTACAATCAGTTGGACTGTTTTAAGATATGATAGAAAAGGAACGACAATACTCAAATTGATATTATAGGGAATCAATTCAAGTTGTTGAAATTCACATAACAATAGTAGATGGAAATCTACAACAGAGAGATGGAAAAATGAAACCATTGATGACAAAAGAGAGAAATATTTGAGTAAAAAAAAAAGAAAAATAAAAGGTCTACATTATACCACTTCAATTATTTGATCGCTAAACTTTGGTCAGAATACTTGCAGCTTTATATACTGTTTGGATCAATAGTCGAAACCTACCTAAAATGATCGCACTATATCTTTTTTTGATTCATTTTCACTTCAGAAGACATGCCCGTTAGTAAAATACAGTAGTTATTAAATATGGCTGAAGAGTGAAACCAATTGTATGGTTACTTTCTAAACTAATAAATATTTATCAGTTTAGGGGTTGTGAAGATTGTTAAGTTTTTGAATGAAATCATGAGTCAGTTGAAGCTAGACCACCATGGAAAACCTGGAAGCACTGGACAGGTGTCTACCTCAGTACAGTGGAAGATGGTCGCACAATTTCGTGGATTGGTTGAGGTTAGATATTAACACCTTTGGATGCCGGCTCAGTGGTCTAGCTGGTTAAGTGTCTGGCGCGAGACTGATAGGTCCTGGGTTGGAATCTCGAAGGGGGGTGAGGGATCGTGGATGCGCACTGCTGAGGAGTCTCATACTAGGACGAAACGGCCGTAGAGTGCTTCCAGGTTTCCCATAGTGGTCTAGCTTCAATTGACTCATGATTTCAATCAAAAAATAACAAATATCTATTTTATATAAATCCTTTCTTTTCAATTCTTTATTATTATCCTATGATTGTTTATCGTAGATTTAATTTTTTATGCTTTCATACATTAATGTTCTGATAGTCACTTTTAATTGAGATAAACTTCAAATATATACACAGATATTACAGTAACAAATGAGATTTTCAACTTCTAACATCACATCAGCTGCATTTCAAATAGATACGGGTCCATGTAAAGAAACACATAATAAAAACCCAGGCACTTTACAAATCCCTAAAGGAATGTCTTCATAAATATTTGGGTTTCAAAAGGGAAAAGGGAATAAATCCATTTATTTAAAATAAAACTTGAATACATAATAATTAACCTAGAGTGTTATAATAATTTCAACGATTTTCTTTAGTTATTTTTTTGGTGTGGATTCTTTGTCTTCTAGTAAATAGTTCTTATTAAACAATATTCAACGAATGACAGATAGAATGAAAATATAAACGGAAAAAAAATGGTTGTATTGCATGAGTAGAATCCGAAATATATCATTCTTAAAATAGCAAATGCAAATATCATGATATATGTGTTTATACATAATAGGTTTTAGTAAATTGAATAGAAGAAGAACTAAATCAAACGAAGTAATTCTATAATGAATGTCATCTCAAACGGATGAGTACGACTACTTAATATTAGTAAACAGAGATTTCCATTTGCAATTTTGGAACAAAAATACATATTCGAACACACTTTTTTCTGTACAGATATCAGCTGGAAAACCACAAAAAATATACAGTGGTAGACTCATGTCCTAGATGTTCGCACGACTTGCAACTCACAGAGCAGGTTTTAACACAAACTTTTGAATCTCTTCTTGGGATCCATTGAACTTTAAATTACAAATGCAGATAAACTGGAACATTTCGCTACAATCTAGCTATGTAACTAAATCCTAACCGTTGTTTATATGCTACGTGGATGACTACCTCTCCTCTGATACTGAATTAAAAATTCTAATATCAGTGACTATATATCACTTTACTAGTGAAATTATACGTGGATTAAATATTTGATAATTGTCATTACTAAGTACAATTACTCAACTTTCCTTCTAGCTGATATTTTACCCGTACTAGTTCATTGGATATAATTTAGATAAAATCAACTCAAATCAGTACGTTACAAAACAATTAAGAATATATTTAAGGACAGATCTATCACATTAATTTTTGCTGTTGTTATTCTGTGATTTCTGTTGTCTTTCCTTCTCTTTGGTTGTAGATCTTACCCCGTAACATCACTAGAATCAATATCGGATACACTATACAATATGGTATTCCAGCCACCCTTACCAATACGGAAATAATAATTTCAAACTGGTGCTTCACACTATTTTAATCCCCAAGGGCAAATGTCGTTTCGAAACAATTTCTGATAATTGTGTTTTACTATAATGGGAATTTTTCAGTGATTAATTTCCGATATATATCTTTTCAAACAATTTACCTTCAAATATATGTTCTTGATATGCAACATTTCTATGTATATCAACCTGATGATGACTGTAAAAGGGGACGCTGTCTATAATTATCTCTGGAACAAATTACTTAAATAAGTAAGCAATCAATACGAACATTCTTTTATAAATAAAATATTCGATAACCAGGAAATCTTTTAAATAGATTTATACTGATACATTTCTAAATAATCAGCATGAAGTTGTGGAGATTATTAAATTTTATTGAAATCATAAACCGATCTCAGTTAAACCATCACTGAGAAATTCGAAGCATTCGATGGTCGTTTCATTATCAAATAGGACTCCACAGAAGTGCAGATCTACGATCCCGAAACACACAATATAATCAAACACATTCAGTCTTTCATGCGAACACTTAACATCTAGATCATTGAACCGGCATCCAACACGACAGTGTTGAAATCTAATTTCAAGAGTCCTATACTAGAACGAGACGATAATCCAGTCCTCCCAGATTTTCAATGGTGGTCTAACTTACATCCGTTCATAATTTCAATGAAAATTTCAAATACGTCATACAATAATAAATTATACAAACTCTTAAACTTACAATGAATAATTCACTGATGTTGATGGTGATAGACAATTGAGTAAACATGTCATAAAATATAATAATCTTGAACGATGAATACAAAATTGAATGCCAGAAATATTCTCATTTGTTAGGCATAGATTCGATATTCGTGATAATAAAATTTCGACATTGAATTCTTTTTGAATTCTTTGCATAAAACAAGTAGTATTACATGATCGATTGAAAAATTCTAGGAAACACCACATAACATGTGGATAGATATATTCCAAGTGATTATTCACACAGTGATGGCCAGGATGATGATCAACAGCACATGTTAACGATCGCCAATTTATCCAATAGTCAATTAATTTCAAAGTAAGCTCATCAGATAAATTAGAATTTGTTTTCAATAGATTAAGGAAACGTAAAAGTAGAATTGGTTCAGTTTCGGCATAATGAATGGTCATATAGTTGAATAAATTTTTATTGAATAATTTTATACAAATATGATGAAATTCAATTAAAAATTCAATATGAAATGGCTGAAATAAATCAACATGAAACAATCAAAGAAATGATGAAGATAATAATATTACATCTTGAAAGATAACCGTTGAAAAATAATCTTCTATTGAAAGGAAAGCAAGAATTAACTTGCTTTTTTAGTTCTACTTATGTAAAACAACTTTCTCCACCTCATTGTCCATATTGTTTTGTTAATGAGGTATGGCAACTTGGTCCTACGTTGTAGCTGACTGACTGACTGACCAACTCGCATTGGTATTAGCTACATCATTACATTCAATTAAGTTTCAAAACATCTAAAACTACGTGTAAATTGTCAAGATACATTGATAAATCCTAAGCTAATACAAATATCCTTGATGTTAATAGTACAATATTACAGAACAGTTGAATTTTATTTGTTTAACTTAAGTGGTAATCAAGTATTGAATAGAATAATCAATATCAGAATGAACTATACAGTAGATAATAAATAAATAAATAACATTGATTCAATTACTTATTTGCAATTGTACCATATCAACTTATTCCCTTAAAACACTTCCATCAAATGTTATGTATCTCGTCTAACTGTTTGATGTTTGATTACAATTGTAGAGACAGATAAATACAACTAAACAATGAGAAAATGCATTAGTTACAAAATTTCTGTCATGAAGATGATAAGACTATTAAAAACTGTTTCAGTCAAAGTCTTTTAGAGAATATAGTTGAAAGAAAAAAAATACTGATTGATATGATTTGAAATAACTATTCACTACTTCAGCCAGCTCTGTCTTTCTTTATTCATTGAAAGATATGAAGATACAAATAAATGATGTTGGAATGTGTATTCTAGTCATTTAGTTCAGTATAGTACGTTATAAGGAAATTACAAGTTGTATATTAAACATTTTTATATTACTAATAACAAATATAAATGAAAAAGATATACCTCATTAGATAAAGAAAATATTGGTTTCCTTAAAGTGAGTAATGCTGTCCACAGTTCCGTTCGATAATTCTCTTCGCAGTGAATCGTTACATGACTTGTATAAACAGAATTCATCAGAATACATAATTCATAAGCAAGATACCAAGCAGAAATAGATATCCAGTGAAGAAGATAATTCAATGCCGATTTTATGTTGAATAATCTATTGCGATTAATAAATATCAAATGAAAAGAGAGAATAAAAAAGTCAAAGACTATTTAAAGCAATGTTAAAATAGAGTGAGTGAGAGAATTATCAGTCAGATATACAAAGAGAAATAATAAACTACTCTGTTAATAGTTAAGCGTAATTTTTCCGTGTGAAACATATGTTACGTTAGTTAATCAGTAGAATATTACCTTTTCAACAGCTTGTTACACCACCAAGTTGGGCAAATCAAATGAGTATGAATGAGGATAGAAACTTCACCTTCTAGAGATTCCGAATATCCATCGGAAGCACCTTAGTGTAATTACACTCTAATACAAAAGAGAGTAGGACTTCATCCTAGGATCGTAACTTCGCAGTTTTTGGTCTTACTGCTATCTAATAGACGTGCCCAGCAAGACAGACCTCTAAAAAACAAGTGTTCCATAGAATATAGCTCAATTTGAGCGTCATGATACTGATGTACAACGGGCATATAAATGTAATAGCTATTATCAAAATGCTGGACAAGTCCAATAGTTTTAAAACTTTAGACCTGTTTAAACGATACCTAAGTGTGTATTTTGTAAGGCTTGACGGGTAAAAACACAGACAAAAACGATGTTAGATCTTGTAACTACTGAATGAAGGTCAAAGCTGGAGAAGATTAACAAGAAAAAAATAACAAACGATAAGCCTACTAACATAAATCTAAAACCATCAATTTTATATTTTATAAACTATAGCCAAAAAGTTCATAAATTCTTTCCCTAAAATTCAGTAGTCCTATGAGTTGATAACACGTCATGGTTTGATCATGAATATCAATTGAATACCAACAACACTATCCGACTATTGAATAGAAACACTTAAAAATAGATTGAGAGAAGTAACTTTGAATGTTAACTGTCTTTCATCAAATCTAACTTTACATTATCCTGTTCGTCTTATAGTTGAGGTACAGAAGAAAAATGTATTGTTCCAAACTATTTATATATACCAAACGACTGAATAGTCTTAGCTTTCTATTACTAGACTAAATAACTATGATATTTATTTATTTGGACATATGAATATTGGTACAAGAGAGCGCCAATATATATGCGCCACACAAAACAATAAAAATTCGAGAGGAATACAAAGAAAGAAAAAAAAAGCTAAGGAGCGCAGCAAAAAAAGAGAGAACAATAAGAAGAGACTGGTGTAAGGTAATGTGCTAGTAAACAGGGAACGCAAAGGTACAATCGGAAGAAATCTTTCAGCTAAAGGAGACACAACCACTTTTTATGAAGAAAGTAAAAGAAGGTTACAGCAGGATCGCCACTGGCTTCTATTCTGAGCCATATCTGATAACGTCTCTAGCCACTGTGTAGCACCATCTCTCAGACCCCAACCAGGGAGTCGTGAAGGACCAACACAAGCCAATCCTTTGCAGCTTTCATTCATGCCACGACACCATGTCATGCACTGACCACCTCTCCGCTTCTTCCAACCAGTCCTAGCACCGGCAAATAATGCACGACGTGGAATTCTCTGGGACGACATTCGTTGAACATATCCAAGTCACCGAAGTCGATGTTTCAAGATGGTGACATCGATTGAATTATCATCTCTGTGCCCGAACACACGATGCCGATCATCTGCAATAATAACATGATGTTGCCACTAGATGTCAGCAAACCTTCGGAGACAACGATGATCAAACATGGAGAGTAGTCTAACATCCTCAACTCGGAGAGACCAGGTTTCACAAGCATAGAGCGAAACTGCTCTCACCGACGCGTTGTAGATCCGACCTTTTACAGCCAGACTAACATCACGAAGGCGCCAAAGGTGGCCCACATTGGCATAAGCCGCTCTGCCTTTCACTATACGTGCATTGATCTCATCACTCACACCCCCACCAGCACTTATGCAGCTACCCAGATACACGAACTTCTCGACTACGTCTATCTGCTCACCATCCAGGGTGAGTACAGGATTAGAATCCTGCCAGTCTTGTAGAAGTACTTTGCACTTCGAAGGTGCAAAGCACATACCATACCTACGGACACTGATTGCCAACTGATGAAGTGCGGATTGCATGCCTTGGGCATTATCGCACAGTAAGACAATATCGTCCGCATACTCAAGGTCGAGAAGTCTTTCTCCAGGCAACAGATCCACACCACCATTACTTACATTCATCACAGCTGTTTCCAGAATGTCATCGATGGCAAAGTTGAAGAGGAATGGTGAGATTGGGCAACCCTGCCTAACCCCACTGCTCGAATGGAACAATGGAGAAAGGTGGTTGTATGCCCTCACTCTGCCTGAGGTGTTTGTATATAGGGCTTTTAGGATGTTAATAAACTTCTCAGGCACACCCTTCTTCAATAGACAATCCCAGAGAACAGTCCTATCCAACGAATGGAAGGCAGCCCTGATGTCAAGAAACACTACGATTGTTGGCCTTTGATAAGTATGGCGGTGTTCTAACATTTGGCGGAGGGTGAAGATATGATCAATACATCCTCGACCAGAACGAAACCCAGCCTGCTCCTCGCGAGTCAATCTTTCTCGGGTTTTGAACAACCTACGAAGAATGACGGAAGCCAATAGCTTGGACGCAATCGGAAGTAGACTTATCCCCCGACAGTTGTTGCAGGAACGACGTGAACCCTTTTTAAAGATAGGGACAACTATCGACTCATTCTATGACGTTGGTACACTCTCTAGTTCCCAAACCTTTGTAAACAACGTCATCAATTCCTTAGTCAAAAAGTCACCACCATCTTTACAAAGAGCCGGAGGTAAGTCATCTGGGGCCAGGTGATTTGTATCGCTTCAAGAGTTGGAGTTCCTTGCGGACTTCCTCCTCGTTTGGTGGATCAGTCGTCACCGGCCATGGAGGGCAGGACAGTTTGACTGATGTTGCCGGAGCAGCAGGCCAGTTAAACGACCCTTCGAAAAATTCTGCCCACCGTCTAAGACGTCGATGGATGTTAGTGATTGGCATCCCATCATCCTTGCAGATTGTTTCACTCACACCAGACTTCTTGCTGCCAGTGGCTCGGATGAGTTGGAAGAGCTTCCGGTAATTACCAGATGCAGCTGCTGCTTCCAGCTCATTAGCACGCTTCGACCACCAGGCTTCTCGATCCTTACGCAAGCTTTGCCCGATTTCCTTACATAACATCCTTCGTTTGTGGTCAAACTCACGGTCGCCCGGAGTAGACCGACGGGCTTCGATGAGTTGTAAGGAACCAGAAGAAACCCAGTGCTTATAAGCGGGACGTTTCGCGAACCCACAACTGACTGTACCCGCCATTTTCATGGCATCATGCAATGGCAACCAATGCTCATCTATACTTTTCGGTGGAGTGGTAGCTAGCCTAGAGGCTAGCTCGGTTCGATACTTACTAGCAACAGAAGTTGCAACCAGCTTGCTAACATCAATCCGTTGATGGCGGTCACTTCGTTGGCCACTGAAAAGTAAGGTAAGATTGGCGCAGACCAAGGCATGGTCAGTGTCCAGATAGGTACTCCAAAGGAGCGGCAGTCTTGTACACAACCACGCCAGCGGTAGCTGATCGCGATGTGATCGTTGTGAGTCCAGGCTTGGGATGCAGAGGGAGGACGCCAGGTGGCACATCGGCGATGACTGTGCCGAAGGTTAGTGCTAGCCAGAAACAGGTTGTGGTCTGTGCATAGTTGCAGTAGACGGTCCCCGTTATCTGACCTGCGACCAACGAGTCCCCATCGGCCACCTAAACGACTCCCTTCTGTGCCTAGACGCCCGACCTGAGCATTCAAGTCTCCGGCTAGTACTACAATATCTGTCGAACGCACTTTCTGGAGAAGAACAGATAACTGGTGGTAAAACTCATCCTTGATTGCATCCGGGCTGCAATCTGTTGGGGCATAGGCGGAGATGACGAAAAGACATCGTTTCTCACCCCGATTTCTTCTCACTTTGATGGAACTTTCTAATCTAACAGCACATAACCGACTGTTAATGGGGATCCCATCGACTAGTGCTGCCTCAGCTCTAGCGCTTAGTGCGACACCAACGCCAGCAAGACCAGACGAAGATGCCACAGGGTCCCCGGATAAGCGCACGTAAAACAAGCTTTTTGAAGTGACAGATGGAGATCGGATTTGTAGAAATTCACCAGAGTACTGAATACGGGTCTCGGATAGACAGCAGACATCGATATGAAGACTTTCCAAAGACATAACCAACCCTATCTGTTGTCCAACCTGCATAAGTGTGCGAACGTTGAAGGCAGCCAGTTTGAATGGTGCACGTGGTTTCAGAAAAACTGTTTCAGTACTCATATTCAGTGGTAACATACAATTTTCAACCGGACAGTGACTCGAGAACGTTTAGATACAGTCGAATTTCCACCAAAGACGAGCCGCTGTATAAGTATAAAAGAGGGTGAATAATGTGGGAAATAATAATAATAATCATAATAATAATAATAATAATAATGACGACAATAATAGTAATAATAATAGTATTAATAATGACAATAATAGTAATGATAATTATTTGAATCGACTGATTGTTTTTGTTTTTCGGAGCGATAAAAGTAGTTGCCAAAGACATAGAGTTCATCGTTTGTGTGTGGGCTGTGATACTGCCCGGGTGCCCAAACCGAAGCAGGTGGTTTTCTTAGGGGGCCACACCCCGAGCCTTTGACCTAAAGGTCTAACCCACAAGGCAGTGGAGCATCGTAAGGAGATGCAGTCCCATGGTAGCCGGTGACCAAAGATTGGTTCATACGCCATTCGTTCCCGCAGGATACTGGAGCTCATGTGCACCATTGGTTCTTGATCCGGTTAAAGCGCCGGACATTCGCTTTTCGTCCTCTCATTTTCGTAAACAACACCCCCGCCACGAGAAGGCAATGAGTAGGACTTCCCTGGCAGAGGCTGTATACGCGCGGCCGTGTGAGAGTATTTCGAGAGGGAGAGCGGACTCACCCCACTCTCGGCCGTACCAGGGCATTCGGTTGGCTATGATACATAATATATGACAGTATTAATCAACATTGAACAATTGGATAATAATGAAAAAGCAAAACTTAAAATGAAAACTAACAAAACAATATCACCATTAACTTACGATTCTCTCCAATGTTGAATAATTTCACAAGTTTTACTTTCATACCATGATTGTAATAAGCATAAATGACCATGTACTGCATTTGTTATAGAATTATATAAAATTTTCTTATTAGAGTTATGTAGTGAACATGAATGATAAATTAATTTTAGTGGTCCAATGCTTGATATGTTACAAAGTGAAGATTGTTTATCTTGTGAACATATAATTGATTCAAATTGATAGTATAGATCAATCGGTGGGCATAGAAATACATGATAAGCTTTTGAAGCAAGTTTACGAATATGCATACTACAATGATTGAAAAGAATATATTCTAGTCGATTGAGGATTTCATCAATTTTTGATGACCTATTTAAAAAGAAATTATTTTGGAGTGAAGAAAAAATAAAAATCACAGTAATGATTCTATGATAGCGAATACATGTAAGAATTTACCGGGAACAAAAAATGTACAAAGAAAATAGAATAGAAATGATAGTTTATTTGAAATATAAACAATAAAAACGAGTATCTACACACCAGAGATTATTTGAATAAAATTAAAAAGTGAAATAAATTGTATGTCGATCGCTCGTAAGCAACAATAATTTACGTAATTATGATTAAGTACAGAGGTTGAGATTACCCGTTAAAGAGATATTCAAGACAAATATAATCTGGCATATTCCAAGATGTAAATGAGAAAAATTCGATGTTTCGTGAAGGGATTTAAGTTAAACCATAACTGAGAAATTCGAAGCATTCGACGGTCGTTTCATTATCAAATAGGACTCCACAGAAAAGTGTATCTACGATCCCGATACACACAATAGAATCAGACACCTTCAATCTCTCACGCGAACACTAAACCGCTAGATCACTGAACCGGCATCCAACACAACAGTATTAAAATCTAACCTCAACAGTCCCATACTAAGACAAGAGGGCACTTCAGTGCTTCCAGGTTTTATAACTTACATCCGTTCATGATCTCATTAAGATTCAACAATCTCCACAACCCAATACTAAAAAATTCAATGTATTTAATAAGTTTATTTATTTAGGATAAAAATCAGTAGTAATTAATCTTGATATCTTAAATTTGATATGAATAAAGACGTTGTTTATAACAGCTTCAGTTATATAAATATACAAATATATAAATATACCGTTGTTGCTACCTTGACGTGGTGAACGGGCTTGCCTATCGTGATGAAGCAACCGAGCTATACTGGCTGGAGCAACCGTTCCTCAAGGTCCTACCATGTCAGACAGGTCGGTTGAAGAGAGGTAAGACTAAAAGCAACAAACTCAAGGTCCGAAGGCGAAGTCGTACTGCTGACTGTACAGAGGTGTGACAGCAGTAAGGTGTTTCCTTCAGACAACCAGCATGACAGCGATGCTGCCTTCCCACAAGGAGGGGTGGGGTTAGAAAAGGTCGACCCTAAAAATGCACACCTCACCTTACCTCACGGATTTCCGTCTCCAGCGGTAAGGCCCTTTGAAGAACGGAGTTAACACGTCGAAAACCCCCCACGAAAAGGCCGTGGGCGACCGGCCTCAAGCAGTTGTCCCTTGGGCACTGCGGTCACGCTCTCAGGTCACTGAGACCACCTCTAATCCAATTTCCTTTTCAGGTACCTCCAGAAGAACCCTTCCTAGGTGTGGGCGACCGGGAAGTGATAACCGCCCTCATACCTCTAACAGCACTCGAGACCACTGTATTCATAATCAACCTTCCTCTTCAATTCCTATTACTCCTCCTACATCGACTTTCACCTCTAAACTTCCTCCTTCGGCTTCCTCCTCAAGTGTCACCATAGCCAACGATTCTAGTGTTCAAAACCCTGTCCCAGGACTACTGAAACCTCGCTTCAAACTACACATTGGAGCCTTTAACATACGCACCCTATGTCAAATCGGTCAGCAGGCTTCCTTGGCTAAAACCCTAGAGTCTCTTTCCATTGATGTATGCTGTGTCTCCGAAACACGCACACAGGATCCCAGTGTGGTCATTCACTTGACCTCACCTCGGCAAAACGGAGAGCCAACGAGATACACCCTCCGTGTATCTGGTGACCCGATGGCCAGTTCTCGTGGACTGGCAGGTGTAGGCATAGCACTAAGCATGAGGGCGGAACAAGCACTGTTAGAGTGGATCCCCGTCAACAGTCGTCTATGTGCTGTTCGGTTAAACTGCTCCGTAAGAACTCGGAAGGATAGGGATACACGTCGTTGCCTTTTCGTCGTTTCTGCCTACGCTCCCATTGACTGCAGCTCAGATGATGTGAAGGATGAATTTTACAGAAAGCTATCTGAACTTCTTCAGAAAGCTAAACGCTCAGACATAGTACTCGTAGCAGGTGACTTTAATGCCCAGATAGGTAGCTTAAACCAAACAGAAAGGCATTTAGGTGGGTATTTTAGTATTCCAGCACAACGAACAGATAATGGTGATCGTCTGTTGCAACTGTGCTCAGACAATCGCTTATTTTTAGCAAACACAAATTTTGAGCATAAGGAGAGACATCGTCTAACATGGCGACCCCCTACACCAAACCAACGATGGACTCGAATGGACCATCTTGCCTTCAGTCATCGTTGGAGAGGGTGGGTAGAAGATTGTCGCTCATTCTGGAGTATCTGCTTGAACTCCGACCACGACCTAATACGGGCACGCATCTGCTTGCGCCTCACTGGACACAAAAAAGCCACAGTAAAAAGACCCATTAGAACTGAATCGAGTAGCGAGAAAACCAAAAGTAGGTTCCAGGAACAACTGAGGTCACATTTATGTAGTTGTCAAAACGGGACTGACCCAGATGTTGCTTGGAAAGCTATACAAACAGCAGTGACATCTATCAGTGATTTAAACCACAGGATTACAAAGAACCAATGGATTTCCTCAAGGTCTATTCCACTGATGCATTCTCGTAAACTCATCCTACCAGGCTCTGAACACGATGAAGAGCGACAACAAATCAGATCTAGGTTAAGAAAAAGTCTAAGAAACGACCGTGAGCAGTGGTGGGCAATGAAAGCAAAAGAGATGGAAAAGGCGGCGACTATAGGGAACACAAGACAGCTTTACAGACTAATAAATGAAACTGGAATTACTAAGTCAAGTGTAAGTGAGATTATATCGGAAAAAGATGATACTCTCATCTGCTCCCAGTCCAGACGTTTAGAACGATGAGCGGAACATTTCAGAGGACAGTTCAGCTGGCCTTCAGCTACTCTACAACTACCCTCCATTCCCAGACAGTGTAAATGGAACATTGAAGTAGGTCCCCCAACTCTTGCTGAAGTTCAAAAGGCTATAGTTAATCTGAAACGAGGAAGGGCAGCTGGTCCAGATGGACTGGCTCCAGAGGTCTTTAAGGATGGTGGTCCAATTTTTGCGATTAGGTTGACTAATATTTTAGCTAGGATCTGGGAGTTAGACGTTATCCCATCTAACTGGTCACAATCACTTATCGTCCCAATATATAAGAAAGGGTCAAAATCATCCTGTGACAACCACAGAGGGATTAGTTTAACTAATATAGTATCTAAAATACTAGCTTCGATAATTATCAGACGCCTAACTAAGACTTGTGAACTGCAAACACGAGAGAATCAAGCTGGCTTCAGACCTGGTCGTGGCTGCATTGACCACATATTCACCATTCGTCAGATTCTAGAACACAGGCGTACTTATCGGCGTCCGACAATGGTAGTCTTTCTCGACTTAAAAGTAGCATTTGACTCTGTAGACTGCGAGATTCTGTGGCAGTGTCTGTCATTGAAAGGTGTGCCTCAGAAGTACATAAACCTTGTGAAGGTTCTTTACTTGAACACTACTAGTCGAGTCAGAGCTTATGGTGAATTGTCATCTGCTTTTGCAACTTCAAGTGGTGTCCGTCAAGACTATCCACTTTCTCCATTTTTGTTTAACTTCATCATAGACCTATTGATGGAAATAACATTCTCGTCGACTGAATTCTCTTGTATTGATCTCCTACCAAGAGGTCCACTTATCGACTTAGAATACGCAGATGATATAGTCCTGTTTGGTGAAGACGCTGATAAAATGCAGTCTTTTGGTAGCACTAAGCAACAATGCCAGAATGTTTGGGATGCGCTTCTCTCCCTCTAAATGCAAGTTGTTGCTTCAGGACTGGCCTGCGTAAACACCTGAACTAAGGATAAGGAGTGAAGTAGTCGAACGCGTCGACAACTTCACTTATCTTGGAAGTCTGATCAGCCCTAATGAGTTGATGTCTGACGAAATCTCAGCGCGGGTTCGAAAAGCTCGCTTGGCTTTCGCCAACTTGCGTCACCTTTGGCGAAGGCGAAATATCCGTCTATCAATAAAAGGACGAGTATACTGCGCGACAGTCCGTTCTGTCTTACTTTACGGCAGCGAAACATGGCCATTAAGAGTAGAAGACACTCGTAAGCTATTAGTATTTGACCACAGATGCCTTAGAAATATTGCTGGCATCTGCTGGGATCACCGGGTAAGTAATAGTGAGGTTAGACGCAGGGTATTAGGGAATGATGGTAAATCAGTTGATGAGGTTATGAATCTTCATCGACTGAGATGGTTGGGCCACGTGTTACGTATGTCTGAACACCGATTACCACGACGTCCAATGCTATCCGGTATTGAAAATGGTTGGAAGAAAGTTAGGGGCGGCCAAACCAAAACGTGGCATCAGTGCTTGAAGACACTAACTTCTAGTCTGAGCCATGTTGGTAGATGCAGACTACTTGGTTGGGGTCCGCGTGACTATCGTAACCAATGGTTGGAGACTCTTGGTGACATGGCTCAGAATCGTTCACAATGGCGTCGGTGTATACACTCCCTGTCTTCCCTTAAACTAAGAGATTAAAGTCACTTCATATCTTTCTTTCTACGAACCAATTCTTTCTTTTTGTACTATATCTCTATATGCAATCTTTCTCTTATATATTACCACCTTTGACCTAACCATTGCTGTGAATCCGGTGTTCATCTTGTTGTGCTGATGCAGTATGGCAACCTGGACCGATGCACATATGTGCCTGGTCCTACGTTGTAGCTGACTGACTGACTGACATAAACGTTTTCCGTTTAAAATGATTTTGATTGTTGAGATGTATTCTGATACTGAAGCCACACATGTCACATAAACTCTTATTTGATAGTAGACAGTAAGCAAAAACCAACAGATAATCATTCTGATTTTTGTACACGTCGTCTGAAATTGTATACAGCTGTTGTTTATTGATAAGGTCAATCTCGAATGACTGAATGACCAAACATCAGAACACAGTGATCGATATGAGAAAAAAAAGTGGATGATCATTAGTTGCTTCGTGGTCACAATTATCATATTGAATTAAATATTTATTCACTTAGAAAATAGCTTAGTCACATTATCATGACTGAAAATCTTGCATATTAACAAAGTAGTAATATAGTTGAACGGCCAGTATATTTACATGCTCTGAAATTAAAGGATCGGTTGCATGAACAAATTATATCCATTCAACCAGAGCCGTTAAGCCAATAACAGAAATCCATTTCACAAACAATATAGTACTTATTACCTCTACAACTGTGTCTGTTGTGAGGTAGTTACTCACTGAAGACATTGGTGGACAGTCGTGCAATATTGTAGATCGTTGAAGCAAGATATTAACACCGTTTGATGACGGCCGGACCAGTGGCTTATAGGTTAAGCGCTCATGCGCTTAACCGAAGGTCCTGTGTTCGAGTTCCGCGTGCGGGATCGTAGACGCGCACTACTGAAGATTCCCGTACTAGAACGAAACGGCTGTCTAATGCTTTCAAGTTTTCAATGATGATCTAGCTTTAATCGACTCATGAATTCAACTATTTTTAAAAACCATAGAAACATTTCTTGGTTTCAAAATTTATGCCTTGAACTTTGAGTTAATTTGGTTTCAGGTTGGAATACACAGTTCCATCTAATTTACTTAAAACAATCTAGGAGAATTTCTGATTTTTATAAATCAAAAAAATAACTGTGTATCAGTGTTGAGTACATATACATACAAACTTGTACTTCAATACTTAGCTGTAAAAAAAACAGATAAATTTACAATTAATTAATTAAAACAAATACTTACACTATCAACGAATGATCAAACGATGGAGAAAATCTAACAATTAAAGTAAGTATTGGAATTAAACTTTGCGCTGACGATAAATTTTGATAATTACTATCCAGACAATTAAATATAATATCCAACATTTGAGGATATTGAAAGCAGATATCCGAAATTAATGGAAATTCTAAGTCGAGACTTACACCAGTGAGACGATAGATCAATGCACCTGTTGGATTTGAAATGACATAAATAAATAAATGACAGTGATTACATATATTATAATTAAAGTTGTTTACTAAGGGTTTTCGTAAGAAAATAACAAGAAGTAACATGGAAAAGGAAGCAATAGAAACTCCAGTTAGTTAGTTAGTTAGTTAGTTAGTTTGTCATACATAGCATAGAACTTGACACATATGTGGATGAGTTCAAGTTACTACATCCTATTTTTATTTTAAGACAAACCGCAGGTTGGCAGAAATAATAATAATATCGGTTATATTGGTAGCAGAAAATATTAGGTATAGAAGAAAAAGGTATGAGATTTAGAGACTCAGATTCGAAATGAAAACAAAGAATGAATCCACCTGCATCGTTGGGAGTGATTATGAGCCATGTCACCCACAATTTATAACTGGTTATGATAATCGCGCAGACCCCAACCAAGTAGTTAACATCTACAGTAGTCAGTGTCTTCACGGACTGGTGCTATATCCTGGTTTGGCTGATCTTATATTTCTACCAACCTACTACATCAAGCATCATTGCACGTCGACGTGGTTGGTGGGTGAGAAACGTAATACATACAGCAACCATCTTAATCGATAAAAACTCACTACCTCGTCAATTGATTTACAATCATTACCTAGTATATTGTGTCTCATCGCGAAATCGCTAACTCGATGGTTCCAGAATAAACGAGGGATATCTATTATTCACCTGCATAATACATGTAAACCTCTTTTCAGTATGTTTACGAAAAAAATTCGTGAAAAAATGTAGCGATATCAACATAATCAATTATCAAATAATTCTTAATTACTGTAATTAATTTGTTATATACATGTTTATTTAGTCTCCTTAGAGTTATATTTTTTTTATAAGAGAACTGATGATACGATCCGGCCAACCGGATCAAAACAAAGAGGAAAAGAGTTAAAACCGTCAATCAAAGGAATTATAAAATCAGTGAAAAGACAAAAGAGTATGGTACTTCTTTTTATTTTATTCATCATAATAACGATTACCATCGGTTGAATACTATCGAAAATTTAGTTATATTTGCAGTCTTTTCGTCTGTTTGTCTATCTTTCTATCTATCTGTTCAACTGCTTTTCCCTCGAAACACATTAATTTATTCTAAGAACATTCGTACGTTTAGTATAACATGGGTGTCATTCAAAAACTCAAAGCACCTTTTCTACAACTTCTATATCTGTTTTTCTAATCAGAAAATTTCAAGAAGGAATCAACACAGCATGCTATAATTTCGTCTAAAGTATGTTTATAATTAAAATGTCTTGTTTATGAATATTCTAGCTAATTGTGGGATATTAAACAGTTGTTATGCAACAAGATTAGACTACCTTGATTATTCCTATTCGAATTTTAGTACAAACATCAAGAGATTTCCATAATGATTAACCCGATTCCAAAACCCTTGGACAATCGAATAAACAATGTTTCATTCCTTTTGTTTTTAACCTATCTAGTACTCCAATTAATATGTTTAAATAATTACATATAACTATTTTCAATTGGTATACACAATTCAATACAATACAATAAGGGCTTTACAACACAATTGAAAGAAAATCAACTGGTCTAATGATTTCTTTAGGGAAAAACAAAACGCAACTATAAGCTTCAATCTGATACTTTTTTTAAAAAAATAACCTTCAAAAGTCGAATATAAATGAAAAATAACACCTACTATGAAGTTGAAGAGCACCATTCCAAACATTCCATTTTTTCGAATTAAAACCAGGAATAACAGCTAATTGAAGAGCTTCAATTGTCCAATTTTTAACATGTGATAGACTATTATTATTTTCTATCGGAACAGAATGTTCATGTACACGTAATCGAGCATCGGTAAATAGTCCGTGTAGTAAATGTAAAGCGAATACTCGTGGTGAATCATGAAGTGTTGTTGAATCGGATATAATATGAGTAGTATTATTATTCACATTATTATAAACATCATTATCATCTGATTGTGTAATTTCAAATAAACTTTTTAAACAACAAACAAGTGAACATGGCTACAAGGAAGATAAATACAAACAATTAGAAAACATATAAATGACATTACTGTGACTGATGTTTCTTCTTTTTTTTCCTTGAAACTTAAGTAAGTAATAAAAATGTTAATCTAGATTAAATAGTGGAATATAGTGTTTTTAAACAAACAATCTGTATATGATATCCCGTTTTTAGGGTGTGAAGTTTATCTATATCGATGGTTGTCAGGACGGATTGCGATATCATCAGCTAAATCAAGAATTAATGAATATCTGAGATTTTGAGAAAGCGAATTCCCATCATAACTATGAGGCAACGCAAGGAATTCTTATGAAAAATAATAACAAACGGAAGTCAACAATGCCGGGTTACCTATAAATTATTTGAAGTTAGAAATTTAAACCATTGGATGCCGAGTCAGTTGTCTAAAGATTGAGAGCTCAACGCGAAACTTAAAGGCATTTGATTTGATCCCCGATTGGATCGTAAATGCGTGCTACTGAGGGGTCGCATACTTGAACGAAACAGTTATTTAGCGCTTCCTGTTTTTCAAAGGTTTTTCATTAAAGGACGGTTTATGACATAAACTACGAAATCCATCAGTCTCCAAAAAACCCCTACACAATATGTTTAGAGTTAGAACACTAAAGATATATTATACTAATTGTTATGTATATTCATCAAATTTGATAATGTCTATCAGTCAAATTCAAAATGTAGACATCGTCCTCAAGCCCCTAAATGCCCTGGTACGGCCAAGGGTAGGGAGAGTCAGCTCGCCTTCTCGAAATGCTCACACATGGCCACGCGTATATAGCCACTACCAGGAAAGTCTTACTCACTGCCTTCTCATGACATTACTGTTGTTTACGAAATTGAGAGGACGAAAAGCGAATGTCCGGCGCCTTAACCAGGCTGGTGGATATGGAGAGTCCACCTAGATGAGTTGGAAAATCCTAATGCCAAACCAATGGTGTACATGGGCCCCAGTATCCTGAAGGAACAAATAGTGTATGGACCAATTGTTGGTCACTGGCTACCATGGGACTGCATCTCCTGACATTGCTCCACTGTCATGTGAGTCAGACCCATAGGTTGAAGGCTCTGGGCATGACCCCCTAAGGAGACCACCCGTTTCGGTGTTGGCACCCTAGCAGTATCACAGCTCACACACAAACCACATGAGATTTGTGTGGCACATATGTATTTGGTGCTCCCTTGTACCAATATTTGTGTGTTCAAATAGGTAAATAAATAAATAAGTAAATGTTTGAATCATAGTATTCTTACTGCCAAAGCATAAATTCTTATAATTGAATCAAAAATTAATGTTTTAAAAAAGAAACATGAAACACGGTTTTTGGATTACACTACTAACAAAATGTTGTGGCACAACAACATACAGGCGTAAACGTGGTTAAGTGTCTTTCATCTAACACCAAATCTCAACACAGAATACTTATAACGTATAATAAAAGCACTAAATATTACTTACAGGACTTTCAAGTCCGTTACAAGATTTAACCAGAAGACAAGCACGTATAACTGGTATAAGCCCAGCACCACGTCTAGTAACAGAGTAAGCACTGTTACAAAGAACTTTCCAACATATTTGCAACATATGGTCAGCAGAAATAGATCCATCACATGTCGATAAATATTTGATATCAGTAGTCGGATTTTTGCAATCCATTTTGAAAACTGATGACTTTAAAGCATCCTCTTTACATGTTTTCAATGAAGAACAAAATGAAAGTTGATATTTTTCAACAGTTTGTAAATAAAGGAGAAGATTGAAATATAGTGCTTCTATGGTTCCCTGGAAAATAAATGAATGGAAAATTTCATTGGATACAAATATATATGTAAGTTTCAGAGTAAAGATAACTAAGACATTTGTAGGTTACGTAATAATGTTTGTAGTTCTTGATTTAGAATAATTAAATGGGTAGATCGAAAGGTACCTCACTTAATTCAATCTGTTAAACTCGCAATAAAATCCAGACTATCATGTATAGGTGGTTTACAAACTTAAACTCATTGATCATCTTTATTTAATCCTTGATGCTGATCAGATTCTAGTAATTCAGCTGTCAAATAGCTCTGATCTACGTGGTTTTACATCTCATGTACTATATCAACATTTTAGGTGGGCGGAGATAGTCGTTAAGATACCCTTCTTAACCCAAGTCTCGTGACATTTGACATTTGTTAGCAAGGTACACCTATAATCTTGAGAGAACTGATGTTTTCTAGTGGATTTTAACCTGGATCAATCAGATACTCAATCATAGATAATACGAGCCTATTCGAGCTTGCAAACTTAAGCAAGAGATTTTTAGTACTTATATGAAGGTAACTTCAAATAACATCAAAAATCTCCAAGACTATCTTTACTGAAACTTGTATAAATAACTGCTCATTTTTTAATACAAACGGTATATTGTATTACTGATACATCTAATTCAGCATCTTCCGAGGGAACAAGGGTTTAGATCAGTAGACAAAAGTATTTACTGATTGGACGAAAGTTTATTAAATGTAATCGTTTTCTAACATATAAACTGGCTGAAAATATGGATGGTTTAATACAATCATTTTGAATTTTTAAGCCGCATTCGTATAGTTGATTTCGATGGGTTCGAATATCAGAGACTAAGAATATCATTTGAATCAAGATTGCAAATACACACATTTATGTCAAAGATTACTTAAAAATTGCTTTCAAACGGTCTCTAAACTAGGGAACGTGAAGCAGATCATTTCGTGTGACCTACTTAAAATAGATAAAGAGAGACTATTTTTTGAATAAAAACAAACCGTCAACAATAATCATTATGGTTTCGCCTGTACAGAAAATACTTGTCCAGTGTCGAAATCTTATTCTGGGGTTTTACAATTATGTTATTTGTGTAAAAATTTGTAAAGACATGGATGTAGAGCTAGTAAATTTATTCAGATTTCAATTTATGCATACTAACTGCTTCAGTATAAACAGTATATTCATATTTAATGGATAGAATATGGCTAACAGTGGAATTTAAGAAGCGTGTTCAGTCTTACTTGGAATTTATCAGCTGAATGTAACTATATCCTAGTATTCACGCGAGAATTTAAAACAAATACCTTACACTTCAAACACTGAACGCATTAACCACTGAGCTACTGAGTCCTAGTAGTCACAAACATGTGCAATAGGTACAAATTGAACTTGACTTGTGAAGTTTCACATCAATAACGATATCATTAAAATCCTTACAAATAAAAGTAATTTCGCATTTAACTTTTCATGTGCAATCACGAGAATTAAAACAAAAAGAAACACGAAATTCATGCATATCTGTACTGCAACAAGTTTTTTTTAATGTTAGGGGAAATATAAACAACCTACCTTATGACGACATTGTAACAACTGATGCAATAATTGATAGCCAATTTTGGAGGCAAGCAATTTTCGTTCTACATCCGCCATTACATTCTCATCAGCTAATTTACACTGAATAGCAAACCAATTGGCAATAATGCTGGAACAGAACTAATGTTTAATTTTTTCGATATTTAAGAAAATTAAAAAAATAGGAAAGATTCCATTATGTGATATTTTTCGCAGATGAAAAAGAAACTAAACCTTCATTTACTCAACAGTACTACAGTAGTGGAACATAATTATTAAGTTTTTAATTGGAAAGTCATCTCTTGACAGAAACTGGTTAAAAAGGGATGATTCCTATAAAAACCTTAATCGCCTCCATGAATACCAACATATTTAATTAGGTCACCATTATCATCAAACGGAGTAACAAACGTTCAAGTGTTATTTATTTCCTTAACCTCTACAGGTTGGTGATTGACAAAGACTCAAGATAGTGTGGATCCGTATATGTTGGTTGTCGCGATGTTCGATCAGCAGGTTCAAACCTGTACGGCAATAGTATCGTACTTAGTATCGAAAATACATATCCAAATATACAATCCATAGTTTTAAATACCAGTCTTAATCATTTTTAAATCACTCATTGTATAAATCACTTCTCTTATTAGAAACAACCAATCTCAGTGTACCTATACAAATGAAAAGCGTTATGACAAGACAGTTATTTAATGGGACATTGAAGTGAATAATATAACAAAACAAAAAGATCATTTTCTTCACAATACCTATCTTTGAATTCTTACAGGAAATTTACCAAGCTGAATATAGATTTTACGAAATTTATTTATTTATTTATTTGAACACACAAATATTGGTACAAGGGAGCACCAAATACATATGTGCCACACAAATCTCATGTGGTTTGTGTGTGAGCTGTGATACTGCTAGGGTGCCAACACCGAAACGGGTGGTCTCCTTAGGGGGTCATGCCCAGAGCCTTCAACCTATGGGTCTGACTCACATGACAGTGGAGCAATGTCAGGAGATGCAGTCCCATGGTAGCCAGTGACCAACAATTGGTCCATACACTATTTGTTCCTTCAGGATACTGGGGCCCATGTACACCATTGGTTTGGCATTAGGATTTTCCAACTCATCTAGGTGGACTCTCCATATCCACCAGCCTGGTTAAGGCGCCGGACATTCGCTTTTCGTCCTCTCAATTTCGTAAACAACAGTAATGTCATGAGAAGGCAGTGAGTAAGACTTTCCTGGTAGTGGCTATATACGCGTGGCCATGTGTGAGCATTTCGAGAAGGCGAGCTGACTCTCCCTACCCTTGGCCGTACCAGGGCATTTAGGAGTAGATATTACGAAATAGAAAATTTTATTTAAAAAAGAAATATTCAATCATTAAATGAAGGATAATCAGATAACAACTGAATTAATCAATATAGAATGAAATGGAAAAGCATTCAACAACTGTCGATCTATTCACTTTTGAACAACAACTAATCAACTATACAAATGGAGTTTGTATAGTTGATAATTTTTTATTTCATGTTAAATAATATGATTTAAATATCATTCTTATTAGTACATTCATTATCTATATTGAATATCTTTTAGTCAATTTAAACAACTGTCCTTCAAAAATAAGTATTATTTATAACTGTCAATTTTGTTTATAATCAAATATGTGTGTAAAACATATTTTTCTCCTTTTACATTATTCTTTCTTTTAGTGTGCTACTGATAAGTTTTTTTAAAAAATGTAACCAAATAAATCAAAATGCACATTTGTGTGAAGTTTTATACTAATTCACTTGGTATCGTTTGGATTTATCTTCCCATTGAGGTTAAGGACTCCAATTGATCAGTCTCTTATTGGCATATGTGCATACTATGAGTATGCTTCGATATTGCCTTAATTCACAAGCCTTATATTCACCCCATTTGACAAGCACGTGGCTATCAGGACTCAGTAGCTAAGTGGATAACGCGATGGCGTTTGAAGCGAATGGTACTGGGTTCGAGTCCCAGAGTGAACATCAATTGTGAGATGCAAGTACATCCATCTGACGAGTCCCAAATAGAACGAAACGCGCGTCCTGGATTCCACTGCTAGCCACTATCCATCGTTGCTTACAAAAATTTTATACTAATTTATTTTTTTTTAAATCTAAAGTATTATATTTTAATACTATGGAAAATATAAATTAAATAATATCTGAATAACAATATATTAATTAATGAACTCGATTTTCAGTTTCATTATTCTGTACAATGTTTATTGGTGTTATCAAGCACAATCGTATAATTAGAAATAAAAATCATTGGTATAAATATATTTGTCTTTCTGATTCATACAAGGATATCTAGGCTGAAACCTTGACTAGGAGTATAACTGACACCCTAAAACAACGTATTTGGTTTATAATTTCTTGTCTACTATCTAATTCTGAGATGGAACGTGAGCATTTAACTAGTAGACTATCAATGAAATCAGGGTACAAAATGTATATACTACTGTGATGCATGCTACTTATGCTGACAAATATAAGTAGCATGTAACAGCAATTGGAAATACAATGCCTGTCAACAGAAGATTGAATTGAAGAGAACAGGAAGGGAAACAGAGAGCAATCGTAAAAACAACATAATTGAAAGAAACATGAAAAATGTAAAGGATAACTGAAGGAAACTGTACAAATGATGTATTAAGTATATCATTTTCATAATTCACACAGGCATTCTGTAATATTCGATTAAGCAATAAATTGGTTTTCCCCACTGAGTTCTCGTTCACTACCCTAAGGATCATTGCTAGATGCAAAATTCTAGCCAAAATATAGATTAAACATGAGCATAGGACATACCAAAACTAAAAATATCATGAATATAATTACAATAGCACATATTTATATGGACATATATTTTTATAAACTTACTTTCAAGGTATTCCATGACCAAGAGAGAATATGTTGATATTCCGGTAATAATTCAATCGAATTTAATGAATCCATATCAGAACTATCTACATTATTTACAATTGTTGAATTATTTGAAGTATGTGTATGTGAGGTTTGTTTGAGATGACACTGTGTTGATTGACCGACTGTTTCATTACTATAATGCAATAGACATTAAAAGATACAGGAAAGTAGAGAGAGGAGAAAGCGTGGAATATTAAAATGAGTAATAATAATAATAACTATGAGTTTTCTTAATCAAACCCAAAGACCAGGTATTGACTTCAGTCTTTTACTATCTCTTCCTACCACAAACATTAGTTAAATAACTTTGATTGTATTGATTGTCATTTATTCGCTTATTAATCCTGAATGCTTTTTATATGAACGTGTGTATACTGATTAATTACCTCATTCCATATGTGTCTGTAACTTATTTTTGTCTGACTATAAAAGCAAGTTACCTCACTCATCCTCTCCATTATGTTTGCTTCGCTTTCCGATTAACGATTGTACGAAATATACGTATTCAAAAATCCATTCTCGTATTTGCCTTATTTAATCCCGTTATTAACTAACACGATCCGAGTCGATGATAATATAAGTGGATTGGCGACATGTATATTTTAATAACAATCATTCATACCATCTAAATGGAGTCAGGTTTAGGGCTACTAAAGATATATTCAAATGAACAGTTAGACAGTAGAGATCTTAACTGCTTGCTGGATTCGTCTTCTGATTGGAAACCAGGTTGAAAGTAACTCGAAGACCAACAGGTGCTAAGGTCTTTGTCTCTATTCATTGGTCACAGGGACATGGGAAAAATAGTACAGTGATCCTCCAGGTATAAATAGGATTAATCGATAATCAGACTGGACAATACTACTGCTCCCGAAATAACATCCCAATCATATAGGCACCAACAGAAAACAAGAACGTGTTTTGTTTTTTGAAGATATAACGGATACAATTTCATCTGATCATTCAAAATACTTACATGGTAATAAAACAAATTCCAATACCAGTTGATAAAAACGAATCAAAATCAATCAGAGGAAAGGAACTTATAAATAAAATAATGAGGATATCACAAAACAAGCCCATTTGAATATCAATATACTATATGTGTGTGGAATAATTATCGTGTCTGAGATATATCTAAGTTACAAGACAACCAGTTGACTACAATTAGCAAATTTTATCAAGTCGTATAAGGTTAACAGTCAAAGACGTTAAATATCATTAGGCGATTGAGGTTCAACACTCCATATTTCACATGAATTACAATTTACAAATAAAAAATCTTACCCAATTGATAATGATTGATTTCGTCTGGCCAACATAACAGTCTTCAAAATCGCTTTACCCAATTCTCGAAATGAACAGGCACCTTCAAAAATACAAAAATGTACAAATACACAGTACGCACATATGTTGATGGGTCAAGTGTTATGCTAGTTAGCTAACTGTAATCTTAAAATACCTATAGTTTTTTTCCAGTTATATGACTTTTAGACATGCAGGCGTCATACGTTTCAGTTATGACTAAAACAAACACCGGAAGTATATGACAAGGTTTGCTGGTACGTGGTTTTTCGTTTTCTAGATATTTGTGCGAAGATTATATTGAACGCTAATTGAATAAAACTTTTCCAGGCGTTTCTGAGCCACTAAGTTCTTTGACGAAGGATATTTTGGGACTCTTCCAACAGCACATTTGAAAATAAATAGCTATGTGGAAGATAAATGCATTATTTAATTCTGTATATATAAATCTCCATAATTTATCACTAGGAATTCGAAGTCGAAGATTTACAGCTTAAATTCGATATATGTGGGTGAAATTATTCAGCTCAATAAACTCTATGAAATCAAACTTTATATAAGCCGAGAAGAATATTTCATAGGTATTAAAAAGGTGCATAATTTGGACGACAAAATTTAAGCAGATAACAAATAACATGGTCTTATCTACATATCAAAAGAACAGAGAATAACATATTTATACTGTAACTTATCAAATGGATTATTTCTCATAGATGAATAATGCTTCAAAAGTCATTCACTACTAACAATGTTCGTTTAGAATTTATGTCGTATATGAAATACTAATGTTGCTGAAGTATAAATTTTAATTTAACTAAATGATTAGATAACCAGTGAGAGAGAAGCATGTGTAGAATCATCTACAGCGGGATAGATAACTTTCAGCACAAATGCATCGGTTAGACCCATTCTAGAATAACTAGAACCAATAATTAGAAAGATTAATCAATTTTGATCTGACTAAACACAACGAGACAACAAATTACTTTAACTGAATAAACACAGTCTGCAGAATGAAAATGTACATGAATTAGCAAACAAATATGCGACTTTCTCTTCCTAATCTGTGACTCACCAACAGTGGGCATTCACGGCCCCACAACAAGGGGTCTAACACACAACCACTAAACCACTGATTCGGCAGCCAATTGTTTACATGTTTAACTCCAATCAATTAGTAATGTCGCGCAACCATCTCCCAATGTATTTGATAGGTAACTGCCTAACACTCAGTATAATTAAAATCCACCGATCACAGCTTCTCACTAGAACTCGGAAATTACCTCTCGAAGTTAGTTATTAGTGAACACATGATTATTAGTTACTATGAGGGGGGTATATAGGTTTTTGAATTTTGTAGTTAACATCATGATTTTAATCAAATGACCACTGAAAATCAGGAAGCCTTGATTGTTTAACTAACCTCAATTCATAACATTGACTACGAAATAAACAACCTATATACTAATCTCAGTATGTGATAGTACTATAAGATGTGCTATTTAACTGACTACATAAGATAATAATCCTTCATTGAAAATATGTAGGTCAAAGGCTTATCCACAAACTTGTACTTTGGTATCTAAGATGTATTAAACAGAATTTTTAATAAGAAAATTGGGATGAATTGAGTCATCAAAAGTATAAATTACAAATAAATCAACAATCATATACATGTACATTATGACAAATTCACATTAGTGTAAATCATTCGCCTGAAATGCTAATCACTATTAATTCCAAACATAGGGAGGTGAACATGGAATCAGTAGTTTGTGTCTTTCAATCTCTATCGTAATGAAAAAACACAGAATCATGCTCAAAAGTGTTCAAGGTTAACCATTCCTCCTATTTAAACATGTTAGAGAAAGAACTAGATTTACATGATTAAACATTCATACAGTTATCAACTAAAATTAAAGTGAAAAAAACATGGCAAGGTTTACTACATGTTATAGAATAGGTGGATTATGGGTAGGAGAGGGAATCCAAAACTCATGCTACGTCTTATTTGGGACTTATTAGCTAGATGTACCTAGATCCCAGTGTTGATGTTCACAGACTATCCACTACTAAGTTACTGAGTCCAGAGAGACACGAATTCATTCAACAGATGTAATGTTTATATCAACAGAATAATTCAAACCGTTCTTTTTTTTAAATAAAGATCTAAATAACTATATTTTTATTAGTTAACGCGTTATTGAAATTACCTTTTGAAAAATCCATTACAAAACTATTGTCTTCTTGATTAAATTGACAAATTTGACAACCCATTGAAAAAAGGCATAGATTGCATAATTCTAAACATAAACTAGGTAATTCTTTACAACAAATGAATTCATAAAGCATTGGATCAATGAATTGATTCCATTTAATATTCTTTGAATTTTTCATCAGTTTACTTAGACAGTTAGTTAAAATTTGATCAATAGTCAAGAGGAATCCTGTAGAATGAAATAACCATAGGGGAAGAAATGTATCAGTGATTTTTAGACATTTATTCAGTATCTTTTTTTAAAGAAAAACAAATTCTTTCGGTAAGATATGAATAATTATCATACAGTAGATATAAAATTTATACGATAAACCTTATTCGACAGTGAATGAGAAGAAAGGTGAAAAATTCAATCCGAAATAGAAATAAGCATCTAAGATCAGAAAACATGAACAAAAGTAAATAAATCATACAATATTTGGTATATAGCTAACAGTAAGATTTATGACGTATGTTTCATCCTATCTGGGACACGTCAGCTGGACATTCCTGAAGCCCAGTATCGATGTTCATATTGACACGCGAATCCAGCACTTTTCATTTTAAACGCTCAAAGTATTTTCTACTGAGCTACTGAGAATATCAAAACTGAGAGTTAGGTAAATCCAGTTAGCGAGTCCTAAGTACGACAAAGCAAATGACTTGAATTTCATTGTTAGCCATTCACTAATCAAACCATAACATGTTGTAGTGAACGAGAACACCAATGAGTACAACCGAATGTATTTGAACATAAAATTACAGAATCTCATAGTAAAATCTGAGAACCATGTAGTGATTTTTTTCATTTGCAAAATGTCAGTCAATTGTCTCAGACTTGACTGCTCTTTCGTTTCCACATCAATCACTCTCTGTTCTCCTTCTCTTTTCTTTGATCTTCTTAACCTTCTGCCGCCAGACATTTCACTTTCGATTGATGATACATACTACTTATATCTGTCGACGTCAGCAGCACACACTAAAATGTGACTGAACGCCATATCGAGGTAATTCGCTGAGGATGCACATACGGCAATAGAGACTAATCAGTCTTGAATATCAACAGCTAGAAATTACTAACATTTACTAAAAGCAATCAAAATTGATATAAACGACTTCAATCCAAAGACGTGTACAAAATGTTACGTCCATGAAGGTACATGCATCTATCTTTATAATCAATACTTTTCACTTAATAAACACAAAATTTCAAAATGTAAATGTTTATTTAGCAAATATACTCATTAATTAAATGTTTATTAAAAAACTGCTGTTTGGAATAAGACAATATAATGAAGCGTACATCAAACATTAACAAAGATAAAGCATTCGATTATATATATTCTATAAATAACATAGCAATTTCAGAATATTATCGATTAAAAGGAATAAAACAACTTGTTGTGGAAAAGAGAATCTGCTGAACCTGTTTTTGTTGACGTGGTTTTGTAGAAGTTAGTTTTATTCATCTCAGATCGACCTCAGTTGGGAAAATATTAAAAACCAGAAAGCACTGAACAGTCGTAACATCCAAGTATACAATTCCTCAGCAGTGAGCATACATGACTCTAATAGGGACGGAACCGAAGAGTTTTATTTCTAGAGGTGTACCTTTAACCATTAAAACAACTGGGTCAATGTTTAATAGAACGATTTAAAATTGACTCAATTTACAACATATCACGCGTAGATCATCCAATGCTATTTGTAACGACTGTTTCACTCTCAACGTCTCCAAAATTTACTAGTTACGAATTCTGGTTAGAAGTTTAGAAACACCCCGGAGCAAGTCAATTATTACTTATACAAACAGCGAAGTAGACTTTAAATTTTTTCAAATGAGTTCTCATAAAGACAGAAAATTTAACCCATTGCTAGGGAGAACACAAGTTAACTATTGTTTTGCCAATAAACGATGGTTTTAGCAGGTGAGTATAACCGCAATAATATTGTTGTACTTCAGATGTCCGCAAAGAGCTTCAATATAATCTTCTTGGTCATTATTACTTTGATGTTGATATTTTGTTGTGCCCCAACTTACTGCATATTGCAATTTAAATAAAGTCATTCCGTTTTAATTCTGATATGACTTTTGTTCGTAATATAAAGCTATTCTGAATGTCTTGTCTTCCCTATGTCATATTCACCTGTGGATTATTAACGTTAAAGTGTTGTTATATATCAGCTGACATATTGCCAATTTTACATTCGATCCTGTTTGTATTAGACAAATCTCAGTCATTCATAGCTAAAAGGTACTGTAGGCTTAATCCAATCATCCTAAGAGGATGAGAATTTTTACTCCTTTCGTTCAGTAAATGCATATAACCAACAAAAAAAGGATAAACTAATCTTATCCAATTTGATAAGCCCATTATCTTATACTATATAAACAGTTAAAAAGAAACACAGTAATACACAGATGTTGAAGATAGCAAGCCTCTTTATCTTAACTTTCGAAAATCTAAAGTCTTTACTGATAAACAAATCATTGAAAAAGACAGGAAATTCGAAAAATCAATAATAACAATATGAAATTCCTTTGTTAGTTAACTAACAAAGGACATTAGGATAAAACAAAACTCAACATCACTCTCATTCACAGCAAGCTTTTTTGACAGTAAAATCTGATATACTAGATAACAATTGTTGTCAGAAATGAATAAAACTTTTGAATAAGCAAAGATGGATAGTGGCTAGCAGTGGAATATAGGATGCGCGTTTCATCCTATTCGGGACTCATCAGCTGGATCTACTTGCATCTCACAATTGATGTTCGCTCTGGGACTCGAACCCAGTACCGTTCTCTGTAAACGCTATCGCGTCATCCACTTAGCTACTGAGTCCTGATAGCCACTTCCTTGTCCAATGAGGTAAAGTTTAATTCACTTGGTGTTGTTTTTACTTGAATCTTCCCATTAATGTTTAGGACATATGTGCATACTGTGTGTATTACCTCGATATTGCCTTGATTTAAAAGCATTTTTGCTTATAAATTAAATTAGATAAAATATCTCCTTATATATGTTACACAGGCCGATATATTCCGAAGTTACAAACTACATATAGAGACTAAGTGTGCATGAATGTCAACTTTCGTAGAAATAGTCAAAGCCCCCTGATAAACGACTATACTTCTTTTTATTGCGTGTATATGTTGAGAACTGTTCAACTACTGTTTCCCATTAAACTTTAATATTGTTTTATGAATAGTATAGTTAGTTTTCAATCTTTAATTTATTAAGTGTGAAACATATCACCTACTCTGTGAAATAACGTCTAAGCATTAACAAATAAATCATACATTTGACGCTAATTTAAGGTATAGTCTATAGTGTAGTTTATAGTACACCCATCAAAAAAATTTATCAAAATACAAAATTTCACATTTTTTTGCTTACCTAGACAGGATTGAAACTGAACAACTTGAAGTAATTTACTACTAAACATGGCTAAATCAACATTACTAAGACTGTTATTGGTTATCCACGTTAATTCAGAAAATCTTTTTAATTTATTTAAAAACCACGTACGCATGTCTGCACCAAAGTAGGCAGAATCCCATAATTCACTGAAATGAAATGATGTAAGGAATAATATACAGCTTAATAAACAGACTACACAGAACACGCGTAAATGTTGCAGAGTAAGAAGCTTAGTGATTTTTAATTTAAAATAGACAGAAGAGTTAAATTCTGTAGGAATCGTGATTACGGATAAACTTTATGGCTTTTACGGGTCAACAAATGAACTATACAAAGATCAACATGACAACAACTAAATCGCTATGAGTTAATTGAATCAAAAAATGATGTGCAGTTGTGAGTAAAGATAACATACTAACAAAGTATTCAGTAGTTAAAGTCTAACAACAAATTTAAATGTAACGAACTTGATGGAACAGAATGTTAAAATATTCGCTCCAGATGTATAAACTAAACACCATGGAGTATCGCACCATGCACAGGCTAAATCAACCATAGTGGGATAAATCGCTTCCTTCAATGCACCTTTATTTTCAATCCAATGATCATAAATAATCGATAAAATTTGTGACTGTAGCTAAAAAGATTAAAAAGAAATAACGATAAGGTATAGAGTTTGCGTTGAATAAGATTGATCCCTTTCATAATTTCCTAGTAATTATACAGATTTACCCAGGCAAGCATAGATTTGACTAAAGCAGTATAAATATCAATTAGTTAGAACAAAAAGCTATACGCAGATGTTGAAATAGATTACTTAGTTTGCTATGAAATCCAAGTACATAACCACAGTTATCAACAAACTTGCAATGAAAAAAATAAACGATATTACTGTCAAAATAGAGCTAACAAAAATTCAGCCAGTATTTAGAGGCGACAATGTACATGAAACGATCGACCAGTTATTGAGAAATTTCATTACTGAAAGATACAAAGTTACAAAGCTTGTTTCTTTAGAAAACAATAACATTCAAAAATAGATCAGTTCTAATTTTGTATCATTTGTAATTGTATCCGAAAGGTGGTATCAAAGGTTAGTTTATGTATAGAAGATAGAGGGTATTTGTATTATTTAAAACGGCCTTGGGCTTCTGGTAGTTTATAGAACCATACTACTTCTAGATGGTTCTGAGAAGCTTCTATTCAATGACGATTAGATAAAAATGTTTCATAGTATTTTATCGGCCCCTATGTACTTTTTTAAAGGAATACTTTGAATCACCCCAACAGTAATCACTGAATAAATATCCTTTATAATAAATAAAAATACCACAATCCACACATAATTCATTGAAGAAAACATTTAAATGTGAGAACACATCTGGTCACAAACCTGGTCAACAAACACAAATAAAAATAACGTTGATGAGACGTTTTATTTTTTCACGTAATTATAACTTACATCTGAGCTTACATAAAGAAGTCCATTCAATAAATATCGTAATAAATTAGTCGATTTGTAGTCCCAATTAAATCGTACAGAAATGTTATCGATTATTGTCCTTATATTGCATAATGAGTCTAGTTTCAAATTGATTTTGCGGAGGGAGAAAACAAAAAAGACATTGATATCATTTATAATATTCACAATTATTACTTAAAATAAACTACAAAAATATATTTACCAAGAACAAATTGATGTTGACTTATTGAGTGATTATTATTTGTTATTTACAGGTTATAAACAATAAACCAGTGAATAAAAACACTACACACTTTATTCTCATCTACAAATCTGATAGTTCGCTTTACAACACGTTTAACATAAACAAAAAAAATCATATTTTAATTAAGATCACGAACCGATTAATGTTAGACCACTATTGTAAACCTGGAAGCACTGAACGGACTTCTCAGCAGTGTGTATCCACGATCCCTGACGCTGGACTCCAACACAGGAACATCAGTCTCGTGTGTGAACGCCTGAGCTCTAGACCACTGAGCCGGCATCTAAATTCAATCAACCCACGATATCGTGCGATCATCTTCTGTTATCTTCGGCGGGTAACTGTCCCACACCAGACATGGTTGAACTCCACTGGCCACGACTTTTCACTATAACTCCGAGAATCAACTCTCGAAGCCAGTCACTAGTGAGCACATGATCATATGAAAATAATTCACTCAGTAATCCACTGTATAAAAAGAGATATTGGCACGGGGTACTTTGATAATAGTTACTCTGACCTTGATAACTTGCTTGAAGCATAACTAAAACAAAAAGACAACTGACATTTCTATAAATATCACTTGACTGCTTGTCCTTGAGTTAATAACCAACCCTTGGCCGATTGATTATACCATGTACTAGATTTTATACCACCTGTATAACTGTTTTGAGTATTTCCACCTAAAAAATTATTTAAAGTTTTTATTTTCAACTCTCTTGAAACTCAATCTCAATGAATAAATGTAATCTGAATATTTGTCCCTAACTCATAAACAAAAGAAATCATTGTCTTGTGAAAAATGTACAAATTTGTTACTTGCACTTGTTTGGTGTGAAACAACCCATGTTAATTAAAAAACACAAACATATTAAATTTGATGCCTTGAAATAATATCACTCAATAAATGAACACATGAATCACTGAAAGTGTAAAGAACAACAAAATCGGTAACCATGATAAAGTTGTCAATAGCCTTATCCTACATTTCCCAAACGACAAGTGAAAAATGAAGGGCATTGGCAGACTATTGTCAGTATGTGCAGTAATCACCTAGCCAATGTTGCAACTCAAAATCGGTTATATACACACTCAGGTGGAGAGAATCAATTCATTATTTAGTACAAAATTATATACTACTTTTATCTGTCAAAATAAGTAGCACAAATACTATATATCATTACCTGTTGAACTATCAGTTACTATGGATGCATCACAAGTAACCACCGCGTAGTTTATTTTAAAACAGCACTTATTGAAAAATATACGGAAAGATTTCAAATCTTATTCATAACTAGAAAGGATAGTGAAGATTGTAAGATTTCGGCCCATCTATACTACTCACAAGCAATTATTGCTCAATCATGTGCACTGGGTCAATTTTGAATGAAGAGAGATCTAAATTCCATGAAATGGTGTGGGGGAATGGATGAGAAGTTAGATATTCCTTACTTTAACTACAAAAAAAGGCCGTGAAATGCGACTTCGGAGACCAGATGCAAATTCAATTTAATGATTGTTTGATTATTGGAATCAGCATTCCGAACTCGGAAAGGGAGTTAATCCGAAAAACTAAAATCTCACTTCAAGATATTAAAGCAGCCTGTATTAATTACGAAACGATGAATGAAATTAATTTTTAGCCGGTGAAAATTTCTGATACTTCGCGCATTTGTCACAATGAAGTACATTTTCAAAATCGCTCAGATTTGGGTTTAATTAATAATGATTCTCATCCTCGTGAATACATCGGAAACAATCTGTCAAAGAATTCCAAATTTGGCAAATTTTAATCAGGTGATGGATTCCATTCACGGAAATCATCCGTATTTCATAATGTTAAATGCTTTAAATGTGGTAAAGTTGTTGATAAGAAACGTCGTCGATTGCATTATGATATACTACTGTTGTTGTAGATACACTTCTTATTCAATAACTGTAAAGAGCTATACACTAACCACCTTCAGTATATAACATACTTCAGAGGTTCTACTCAGAAAGACATGCAGTAAGTAACTAAAAATTACTTCTTTGGATAGAGAAATTAATAGTCAGAGTATTTAATTAACATTACTATAGTTATTAATGCACATGAACATATAAACGACGCGAAATGTACATCAGACATCTATTTCTCGGATGATTTACCTTTACCAAATTCTGATCTCCATTTACTGGATTTTTTATTCCATGGACCATTCGGTGTTAAATTGAGAACACCTAAAGCAACTTCAACAATATCTACCAAAAGTTTCGCGCGTTGATAACTCATTCCTGGCCAAAAGTAAGTGTGTATACTTGTAGTTACTTTTATGTCAGTAGTATTTTTGCTACCTGTTCGAGTATGAATAGTAGTGATGCGACACATTGAACTGATAAAACTTATTAGTTTAACTAGAGAAATAAAAAAAATTGAAATGAGACTGAGTGATGTTAGTTTCTATGATGGAATTAAAAGAAACGGAATTTATTGATTTGGTTGATAACTATTCTCTTTTCATAGGCCATGGTGGATGTTGGCTAACGGTGGAATCCAGGTAGAGCGCTTTGTCATATTTAAAACTCGTCAACTGGATCCCAGAGTTGATGTTCACTTCACATTATGCCTTACATATTATCAATTAACGAGATACTGAGTCCAAACAGTCACTGATTTGTGTAATCACGTGAATTTTAATTCATATCTATCCGTTGTTTTGATCTTTCCATTTATGTTTAGGACTGTAGTTCATCAGCCTCTTTTAAGCATGTGGTCCTGGACTCGAATCCCAGAACGAACACCAACTATGGGATGAGACAGCTACATCCAGCCGATTAGTCCCAAACAGGACAGAATGCACGACCTAGATTTCGTTGTTAGCCACTATCTATCTCTGCTTCAAAACTGTTTGTGACTTAATGATAAATATCGAGGTAATCAACACAGGATGCAAATAAGTCAAAAGATATTGATCATTTGGAATATAAACCAATACAGGATTCACTCTACAAAGATTAATTTAATTTTATCATGAAAAAAATTAATTGATAAACAATTATCTTCACTTTATTTGCCAACCATCAACAAAATAACTGGTTCCAAGGTTAACAATATGCCCATTTATTTTAACTGATCAACTAAACGGAAATTTTACATAGATACCTAGATTTTAAAAACTGCCATCTAATCTGGGCAGATGGAACTAGTTAAGTGAAGTAGTTAATGCAATTAATTACTTCGCTTCTTGTTCAAACAGATGCCGACACAAATTCTGGTGAGTATGTGTACTTAGTGGACTCCGAACATTATTACAGTGGTGTTATTCTCACGTTTTATATCGTATTTATTCGAGTTTTAATTTCATTCTTCCTTGCCAATAACTCCCATACAGTACCCTTCTTTTTCCATTCTTAACGCTATTAACTTGATAGTTTACTGAAATTTATTCTGATAACTAGTAGATTTAAACACAATGGTTCTACGTCTATCATGTTCCTTGTACGCTCTACTGTACAAAATAACAGTCTAGAGCAGAAACAATAAGAAATCTTCCAACATATAATTTGTCTTTTATCCTTTATTGCCTCGAGTTCAATGAAATAGAACAAACTTATGCAAGACCACCAGATGAAAAAAATTACTTAAAAATACGATTGTATAGCTCCAGAAAATGATATCACCGAATAAAAAATTCTCTTCATTAAAATGTATTTATTCTTTCTAACAATAACTATTTACCATCGCTATCGCTAAACCAGTCAAGAATAACATAATATACCTACATAAAATGGTTTGAATTATGTTTTCTGGTTAGTGTTTTTTAGCGAGTTAGTCTTCTACGAGATGGGGTCACTAACCCCATACCCAACCCTTCTCCTTTACCCGGGATTGGGACCGGTAGTGACTCTAGAAGAGCTACAAGCGGACGTCAAGACAGTTCTACCGTACGGAGCTGAAACTTGGAGAACTACTACAACCATCATCAAAAAGGTACAAGTATTTACAAATAGCTGTCTACGCAAGAGACTCAACATCCATTGGCCGGATACCATCAGCAACAGCCTTCTGTGGGAGAGAACAAACCAGCTTCTAGTTGAAGAGGAAATTAGAAAAAGATGATAGAAATGGATAGGACATACATTGAGGAAATCATCAAACTGCATCACGAGGCAAGCCCTAACTTGGAATCCTAAAGGGAAGCGGAAAAGAGGAAAGCCAAAGAACACATTACGTCGGAAAATAGAAGCAGATATGAAAATGATGAAAAACAAAAGGAAAGAGCTGGAAAAGACTGCCCAAGACAGGGTTGGATGGAGAGTGCTGGTGAGTGGCCTATGCTCCTCCACAAGGAGTAACAGGCGTAAATAAGTAAGTAGTCTACATACAATAAAATAAATAGACACTTCAAAAGTAACTTACCTAAATATAATACATCATTTTCCTGCATACTTAAAACACTCTCATCTTTTATCCTGTTCAAATCAAACAAATTATCAAACACTTGCAAACGCGTCTCAGTATCTGATAAACAAATAATACGGTGATTACTACTATTGATAAGATTATCATTATTCGATATTTCTATGCTATTATTGAAACGAATAGATTTACATATCATTCGTATACATTCTGTTAAACTGGAGAAAAGTTTTTGAAATTGATTACGATATGATGGATTTGAACAATTGTTAAATGTATTACAACAAGTTAAAAATATATCCATAAAAATTTGAGTAGTAGAAATGTTGGACAGTATAAAATTCGTCGATTCTTCACTATTATTTTTATTATTATTATGATTTGCTTTACTTTTCAAATGTAAATATTTGCATAAAAACTTATGAATTCCATTCAATGCTAATATACGTACACAATCATTATGATGTGAAGCACTGTGTGTTAAAATAGTAGGTACCTGCGAAACAATAAGAATTAAATTATAAAATAATTTAAATACTTTTTGTAACTAATGATAATAAAACATAGAAATATTGCATGTAGTTAGTATCTATAACTAAGTAAAACTATACATAATTATGGTTGAAACTTAGCAGGTATTCCAATGTTGACTTGAAGTTAAAACAGCCAGTTAAGATGAGCTTAAATGTTTTTGGTGTATGTGTGCAAACAGTTTGTACTTCCCATGTATCCGCATCCCAGAAGGATATCTTCTCCTGATGAACTTTATAAAGGAACTGTACTGGCATTAATAAATTCTCTGGTCTAACAGTTCAAAACAGTAGAGTCGATGGGATAACTGCTTCACGTCAGTGAAATATGACCGATACACTATATTAAAATACTTAGTTAATATAATGTAGTAAGTATGAAGAATGCGCATAGAACTAACCAGCTGTTTCACTGACAATGGTAGGTCGGAATAATCTTTCAGACTATATAATCGTAACCAAACAAGGAATTTCCGTTCATTTATATCAGAATATTGATCATCTTTTGAGTTGAGAAAAGTCAAAGAAAGATGTTCAAGCAGTTGATCAATTAGAAGATCATTCTTAGATAACTGTAAAGCTTCCAAATCCGATACAATCAAAATACTTTCCAATGCATCTGAACTAGGTAATAATGTGAACTGACTATTTAAACAACTATGAATAAAGTTATCCCAGCTTGTATTCTGCGAAACAAATGCAATGAAAAACACAAAGAAACAATTAATTACTTATGAGTGGTCACTATCACTTATTACAAATTATTATTATGTGCTGCATAATGTAATTGACGATATAGAGTCTCAAACAGTTTAGGAATATCCACAAAGTTCCATAAAAAACTACGGATCGAAGACTTAAGAAGGTACACACATCGATAGCAACTTCATCCAATCTGTTTTTACGCTTGCTTCCAATTACCGAAGTTACAAACTCCCTTACGGTTTCAGAAAGTCACGGAGTACACAGTTACATCCATCTGCTTCAAACATGTCAGATTTCATATTCTATTACTCTTGTTACAACTACTTATACCTTTGCTGGAAGCATGCATTTTTCGTAACCGCATATAAAATAACTCGGTTCAAATGTGGAGACAAAACTAGCTTGCACAATTACACGTCTATAAATATAACAATAGTTACCCCCGGAATGGTGAAATAAATTATATATGACGAAATATAAGATTATTTGATTGATGAAAAACTTGTTACCAATTCACATGTTCACATTAAATCTAGATCTTTCATGACGCACATCATAAGGGACCAGAGATCCCTTGCTTATGTGCCTGAATTTCTTCCTGTCGCTGACACGAAATAGTTGAAATAAACTCCTCTCTCCGGTCACGAGTGGTTTAATTTAGCTTGTCTTAGTGTTTTCTATAACCTATACAAATGATACTGTAACCAACAGTGTGGGTAAACCTTCTCTGCATAATGATGATATGAAGTTAATTTACTCTTTTTTTGCTCACAAGCTTACGCATATTCAACATTGAATCAGTATTGAGATTAACAAAATCCCCTCAAGGTGCTCAAAAACAAACTGAAAACCTAATACTCCTAAATGTGAATGGATTTATGACAATACTCATACTTCGTCACTGCCCCCGAATGCCCTGGTACGGCCGAGAGTGGGGAGAGTCCGCTCTCCCTCTCGAAATACTCTCACATGGCCACACGTATACAGCCTCTGCCAGGAAAGTCCTACTCATTGCCTTCTCGTGGCAATGATGTTGTTTACGAAAATGAGAGGAAGAAAAGCGAATGTCCGGCGCTTTAACCGGATCAAGAACCAATGGTGCACATGAGCTCCAGTATCCTGCGGGAACAAATGGCGTATGAACCAATCGTTGGTCACCGGCTACCATGGGACTGCATCTCCTTACGATGCTCCACTGCCTTGTGGGTTAGACCTTTAGGTCAAAGGCCCCCTAAGATAACCACCTGCTTCGGTTTGGGCACCCGGGCAGTATCACAGCCCACACACAAATGATGAACTCTCTATGTCTATGGAAATTACTTTTCTCGCTTCGAGAAACAATCAATTGATTAAAATTATTATCATTACAATTACTGACATTATTAATACTATTATTATTATTACTATTATTGTCATTATTATTATTATTATTATTATTATTATTATTATTATTATTATTATTATTATTATTTACTACGACATTATTCACCCTCTTTTATACTTATACAGCGGCTCGTCTTTGGTGGAAATTCGACTGTATCTAAACCTTCTCGAGTCACTGTCCGGTTGAAAATTGTATGTTACCACCGAATACGAGGACTGAAGCAGTTTTTCTGAAACCACGTGCACCATTCAAACTGGCTGCCTTCAACGTTCGCACACTTATGCAGGTTGGACAACAGATAGGGTTGGCTATGTCTTTGGAAAGTCTTAATATCGATGTCTGCTGTCTATCCGAGACCCGTATTCAAGACTCTGGTGAAGTACTACAAATCCGATCTCCATCTGTCGCTTCGATAAGCTTGTTTTACGTGCGCTTATCCGGGAACCCTGTGGCATCTTCGTCTAGTCTTGCTGGCGTTGGTGTCGCACTAAGCGCTAGAGCTGAGGCAGCACTAGTCGATGGGACCCCCATTAACAGTCGGTTATGTGCTGTTAGATTAAAAAGTTCCATCAAAGTGAGAAGAAATCGGCGTGAGAAACGATGTCTTTTCGTCATCTCCACCTATGCCCCAACAGATTGCAGACCGGATGCAATCAAGGATGAGTTTTACCACCAGTTATCTGTTCTTCTCCAGAAAGTGCGTTCGACAGATATTGTAGTACTAGCCGGAGACTTGAATGCTCAGGTCGGGCGTCTAGGCACAGAAGGGAGTCGTTTAGGTGGCCGATGGGGACTCGTTGGTCGCAGGTCAGATAACGGGGACCGTCTACTGCAACTTTGCACAGACCACAACCTGTTTCTGGCTAGCACTAACTTTCGGCACAGTCATCGCCGATGTGCCACCTGGCGTCCTCCCTCTGCATCCCAAGCCTGGACTCACAACGATCACATCGCGATCAGCTACCGCTGGCGTGGTTGTGTACAAGACTGCCGCTCCTTTGGAGTACCTATCTGGACACTGACCATGCCTTGGTCTGCGCCAATCTTACCTTACTTTTCAGTGGCCAACGAAGTGACCGCCATCAACGGATTGATGTTAGCAAGCTGGTTGCAACTTCTGTTGCAAGTAAGTATCGAACCGAGCTAGCCTCTAGGCTAGCTACCACTCCACCGAAAAGTATAGATGAGCATTGGTTGCCATTGCATGATGCCATGAAAATGGCGGGTACAGTCAGTTGTGGGTTCGCGAAACGTCCCGCTTATAAGCACTGGGTTTCTTCTGGTTCCATACAACTCATTGAAGCCCGTCGGTCTACTCCGGGTGACCGTGAGTTTGACCACAAACGAAGGATGTTATGTAAGGAAATCGGGCAAAGCTTGCGTAAGGACCGAGAAGCCTGGTGGTCGGAGCGTGCTAATGAGCTGGAAGCAGCAGCTGCATCTGGTAATTACCGGAAGCTCTTCCAACTCATCCGAGCCACTGGCAGCAAGAAGTCTGGTGTGAGTGAAACAATCTGCGAGGATGATGGGATCCCAATCACTAACATCCATCGACGTCTTGGACGATGGGCAGAATTTTTCGAAGGGCAGTTCAACTGGCCTGCTGCTCCGGCAACATCGGTCAGACTGTCCTGCCCTCCATGGCCGGTGACGACTGATTCACCAAATGAGGAGGAAGTCCGCAGGGAACTCCAACTCTTGAAGCGTTACAAATCACCTGGCCCAGATGACTTACCTCCGGCTCTTTGTAAAGATGGTGGTGACTTTTTGACTAAGGAATTGATGACGTTGTTTACAAAAGTCTGGGAACCAGAGAGTGTTCCAACGTCATGGAATGAGTCGATAGTTGTCCCTATCTTTAAAAAGGGTTCACGTCCTTCCTGCAACAACTATCGGGGGATAAGTCTACTTCCGATTGCGTCCAAGCTATTGGCTTCCGTCATACTTCGTAGGTTGTTCAAAACCCTAGAAAGATTGACTCGCGAGGAGCAGGCTGGGTTTCGTTCTGGTCGAGAATGTATTGACCATATCTTCACCCTCCGCCAAATGTTAGAACACCGCCATACTTATCAAAGGCCAACAATCGTAGTGTTTCTTGACATCAGGGCTGCCTTCCATTCGTTGGATAGGACTGTTCTCTGGGATTGTCTATTGAAGAAGGGTGTGCCTGAGAAGTTTATTAACATCCTAAAAGCCCTATATACAAACACCTCAGGCAGAGTGAGGGCATACAACCACCTCTCTCCATTGTTCCATTCGAGCAGTGGGGTTAGGCAGGGTTGCCCAATCTCATCATTCCTCTTCAAATTTGCCATCGATGACATTCTGGAAACAGCTGTGATGAATGTAAGTAATGGTGGTGTGGATCTGTTGCACGTAGAAAGACTTCTCGACCTTGAGTATGCGGGTGATATTGTCTTACTGTGCGATAATGCCCAAGGCATGCAATCTGCACTTAATCAGTTGGCAATCAGTGTCCGTATGTATGGTATGTGCTTTGCACCTTCGAAGTGCAAAGTACTTCTACAAGACTGGCAGGATTCTAATCCTGTACTCACCCTGGATGGTGAGCAGATAGACGTAGTCGAGAAGTTCGTGTATCTGGGTAGATGCATAAGTGCTGGTGGGGGTGTGAGTGATGAGATCAATGCACGAATAGTGAAAGGCAGAGCGGCTTATGCCAATGTGGGCCACCTTTGGCGCCTTCGTGATGTAAAGGTCGGATCTACAACGCGTCGGTGAGAGCAGTTTCGCTCTATGCTTGTGAAACCTGCCCTCTCCGAGTTGAGGACGTTAGACGACTTTCTGTGTTCGATCATCGTTGTCTCCGAAGGATTGCTGACATTCAGTGGCAACAACATGTCAGTAATGCAGAGGTTCGGCATCGTGTGTTCGGGCACAGAAATGATAATTCAATTGATGTCACCATCTTGAAACACCGACTTCGGTGGCTTGGACATGTTCTACGAATGTCGTCCCAGAGAATTCCACGTCGTGCATTATTTGCCGACTCTGGGACTGGTTGGAAGAAGCGGAGAGGTGGTCAGTGCATGACATGGTGTCGTGGTATAAAAGAAATCTGCAAAGGACTGGCTTGTGTTGGTCCTTCACGACTCCCTGGCTGGGGTCCGGGAGATGGTGTGACATAATGGCTAGAGACGTTATCAGATATGGCTCAGAATAGAAGCCAGTGGCGATCCTGCTGTAACCTTCTTTTACTTTCTTCATAAAAAGTGGTTGTGTCTCCCTTACCTGAAAGATTTCTTCCGATTGTACCTTTGCGTTCCCTCATTACTACCACACTACCTTACACCAATCTGTTCGTTGTTGTTCCCTTTTTTTCTATTTCTCTTTGAATTCTCATTGTTTTGTGTGCCGCATATATGTTGGCGCCCTTTTGTATCAATATTTATGTGTTCAAATAAATAAATAATAAATAAATACTCATACTTCGCTATAAGTAGTAGGAAGCTATTTCAAGTTTTGTTTGGCAATAGACCCTAGCGTCAGATATTCCTACAATTCGTCTTTTTAAGAGCAGGTCACAATTCAGATACCTAAGTGACGCCAGTTTCTGCTGTGTAATCTTAACAACAACGATACATGTATTTTATTACACAGAAGATGTGTCCGACAGCTACTAGAATACTGTACTTTTATTTTGAGTGATTTTTTTGTTAAAGATGAACTTCGACTAAAGTTTATCCAGTATCACTTTGCACTTCGTCTTCTTGGAAGTGTTTGTAATTCAGACTAAAAATCCAGGTGTACTGAAACAAGACTTCAGCCTTTATAAAAGCATAAACTTACACTAAATCTAATCTTTTTCTTCAAGATAATAACTAAACTATCTTTTACATTCATTGATATAATCCAGTATGCAGATTCACTAAATTATAGAATTCTTAGCCCTCCATAAAAAATGGAGTTGTTTCATTATAAATCTACTCTCTATGTGAATAAATTTGCAAGTTTTCGAGAATCTGAAAGTTGCCCATAAACTATCATTAAAACAATTTCACCACCACTATCTTCACAATACATTTATAATTTCAAATCCTTCGATACTATGTTAAAAATCCCTACAAAATATAAAGTTTTACTCTTCCTACCAAGAAAATATCAGTTTCTAAATGATACATCCTATGTGATATCCAGCATGACGCTGTAGATAAACCACATTCTTTAAGAATTTGTTTTCATATATTAATTATCAAAGACAACTTAGTGATAGACGGATTGATGATTATTAAAATATGCATTTCAATAACAATGTTGCACTTTAATATGTTTTTATCTGTGATCATTTGTTTTGCCTGCATTATATACTGCACAATTTCAAAGCCTTGGTGATAAACGACCAATCAAAATAATTTATGAATCAAACCTTTATATATATATATATATATATATATATATATAACTACAGCCATACAATTGAACGTATATATCGATGAATGAAACTATATAAGTATGTACAATAAAGATACAGTTCAATTGATGCATTATGTATTCATAAAAGGTTATACAAATCATAAACATTGATACCTGAAACGATTTCGTAGTAAAGAGAAAATTACAACTACATGATATCTTTGACATGGGACAATCTACCGTTCCAGTTAACATCCATTGAATTACAGGTTTAAGTAGGTTAAAATCATATACTTGTGGGGAATTTCGCTTGATGGTTACACTATTCAATTTTAAAAGATAAAACAAATAAATCAGTAAACACGGGAAACAGTTCTGAAAACTACATATTTTAAACAGTGGCTTGAACGGTTAACAGTATAAATATGATGACAATCATGGAAATAGAAAACTGGATTTAAAATATATTGATTAAGATTGCAGGAAGAATTGTTAATGCATAGAGGCAACATACAGTGATCAAGTTTTAATTATCGAACTATGCTAAGTTTAAAACTTACAGTGGTGAACCAACTAGAACGTTTATTCGTCATCGCAGTCGCTGAACGCTTAAGCATATTAGTAGATGGTAACATACGAAATTTAAACAAAAGTCATTTCGTACACTTACTGGATGACTAAAACAAATTTAACTGTGTATTTAAATCTACTTGTTTCGAAGAAAAAATATCCGGGAAAAACGAAAGTTACACGCCTCAAGAATGTAAGACAGCGATTTGATTCTAATGGTTAGGAATAAGAACGAAGCTGAACAGAAACAATAAATTAACAATACCCATTCTATTTGAAATCGTGTTCATACCAATGAATTTTTTTGTAGTTCATTAGTCAAGAAATTTAACTTTCAGCCACTAACGTACTGGCTCCAACACCGATTTAATTACTTTGGTCTGAACAGTCAAACGGTAAAATTAGTCATCACAAAAACACCTCAAAATGGAGGTATATATATAAACCTTCACTTGATTATTAAGTCAAAAATTAAAGGGCATACCTACTCAGTTTTGAACACCTACTATAAACTACTTAGTTTTGAGAAAGCTATCTAGAATCACAAGCCACAGTATTACTGGATGTACTGTTATTCGGAGAAACTCAATCCTTACTCAATGAATGACCGGTTCAAAACTAACTACTTTTATTCGAGTGCTCAAATAATGTAGCCAGCATTTACAAAGTATTTTTGGCTAGTGATTCAATACATAAGTATTCGGCTAGTGCACTTTACATGCGAATAGTTATAAATACAAAACACGAACCTAAAATGACTTTCATACAGGTATTCGTTCAAGACCATAATGAACATAGTTCAGCCTAAAACATTTTATTAAAGGTTTTCAAATTAAGACAGATTATCTTATTAAACTAACCTTTGTTCGAAAATAGACTTTATAATATCACAAGACACATTAGATGTGCAATTGTATTCAATACCCAATAAAAGACTCCACATAAGAAATGGATCGTAATTAAAAACCTTCGATTAAAACAAAAACATTAAAACAAGTTGATGGGGAATTACTACGACCTTTCCTCAGACGTGTAGTTTTATATTAAAATGCAAAGAACATGTATGATTTTCTAGCAACGACCTAGCTGCATTAGTAAGCACTCAACAACAAGTGAGCCTTCATAACTTATGACTCAGTCTAATGAAATCCATATTTTTCGAACAATTAGTCAAAGCGAAAGCATATCGATAACAACAAATGCATTGTGACGAAGAATAACCAATTTTTCAAACCAAAACAACAATACGATCAAAACAGTCAAAAATAACAATTATGGATAGATACTAACTGCCTCTAATGAAAGTGGCCATTTGAGTACACCTAATAAATGTAGATATAATTGATTTACATACGCTTTCCCCTAGGTTTAATAATACTACTGGACTACTCAAAATAAGTGGGATGAAGAGGTATTTGGGTCCGAGGCCCACCAGTTGATAACCAAGTCTTCTAACTACTGATAAACCATTTTGACTGTAGTTGACATGCACCTGAAATCCAGTTAGCTTTTAATACAAATTAAAACAAAATAGAAGGTAGATTATATTCACGTTTTCAACGCTTTCCGTCTTGTACTCTTATCAAAAACAGGAAGTAACTAATAACTTCTTTTGAATACCTTTGTTTGTGACGATCGTGTCATGATTCCTCTGCCTTTACTTATACTTCTTTTCCTAAGAAATCCGTCAATTTCAAAGCATACGAGTAGAAGGCTGGTAATTTCATTCACAGACATGTTTTCAACGTGCTTAAACGTGATAAATTTCTTTTACAAACTGAACAAAACATAAGAATGCAAACTTAATTATTCAGAGTTTTACTAATCGGTGTATATATCAACATTGCAAATGACTTACGCAAAAGGATGTTTTACAGGCAACATTATTGTTATTGGTATGACTGAAAGCTGAACGAATAAACACTTTCAGTAGTTTCACTAAACTTTATCTGTGGATAAAGTCGACTGTGATTGGAGGAAAATACACGAAGGGGCTGATTTTAAGTAATTCCTGAGCTACATTAGAAAAATATCAGCAATTGCATATCAGAGGCAATATGCTGTTTATAGACTATCTAGAAGTCTGAATACAATATTTACCACCCGCTTTTCTCTATTTGTGTTGATACAAAACAACCGATATGTGCTTAAGATACTGTATTGATGTGTCCAAGTAGATATATTTCTCACAGCTATCACCTTAAAGATAAATGCCCCAGATATTGAAGACAACTAAATCCTTATTAGAAAAACTAGTGATTTTATGCAGATACACGAAATAATAGATTTAAAAACAATACAATATTTTACCTCAACAAGTCCTAAGCACTTTACAACGGAAAGTAAGCAATGAATAGAATTTTTAGGTAACTTGTAGTGCCTTGTTACGTTGACAGAATAACATGGGATAATATCGTTTACAAATGCTTTAAAAACCGGTAAAAATTCGGAATCTTTCTTGTTCAATGTCAAGATTATGCCAAGAATATGTAGAAAAAACTCCTGAACTGACTTTTCCACATTCCCATTAGATGATCCAGCGTGTAGATAAACGGATCTACAAATTGCCTTTGCGCATTTAGTCAAACAATCATCGAAACCCTAGATACAAGAAAAGAAGTCGAAGTAATATACACCACTTACCAATAAAAAGAGCGAAACACGTTATGGGCCATATAAAGTGGAAAAATCTTAGCAGAGCAATAATTCTAAATCCAATCCGAAGAAACTTATGGTTTCCAATCAATTATAACTCGCTTAATGCTGATAATAATTTTGCTATTCAGTCGGACATAATCGACGAAGACTCTAATAAGAATGTGTCGATCCAAGTTTTCGGTAGGACTCTAATTTATGGACGAGCCAATCAGAAGCGTTTAGGCAGTTTCAAGGTCACAGCGCGAAGTTCAGTGCGAGATGCTCACATTCGATCGTTTTACAGCAGATTTTAGAGAAGTGATCGTTGAGAGACTACAGCAGATGGGACTATTAAATAGTTCCTATGTCTGTGACTGTGGCAATCAAATGACCGAAGCTAGACGTGCAAACTACCGTGATGACATTGTATTTCGTTGTACTATATGTTGAAGAAAAAAATCTGGTCGAACTGGCACTTTTTTTGCCCAGTCATGGCTAAGGCTAAGACAAATCATGATAATCGTTGCAAATTGAATCATAAAGTCTCCAGTAACATTAGCTGCGGCTTTTGCAGATGTTACGGAAGTTTCCGCCGTTCAGTGGTATGAATATTGTCGTGATATATGCGCAATGAAAATGACACGAGTAGATGAATCATTTGGAGGGGTTGGAAAGATGGTGGAAATAGATGAGGCGGTAGTTAGAAAGCGAAAATACAATAAAGGACGTTTTATCAAGGAATATTGGGACGGTTAATATGGAGCCATATGGACGAGTTCTTATACCTCATGCACTATGACTTCAAACCTTCTGAACCTTTATCAAACCTCAACAAGTTCTTAAATCATGTAAAAGAAGAATATCCATTGTAATTCATCAGTTTTTTATAATATTTTCTTACTTTCTTACGACCCCTCAGGTCGTCGACAACCCCCCAAAACCCAACACTAGGTTTGACGCAACTGTTATTGCTTCTACCAGCACCGTTGACGAATGGGTAAAGGTTGTAAGGAAGAAAAGTATTGATATAAAAGGGAAACCTGCCCCCGTAAAAGTGGTTGAAAAATCGAAAGCTGATCATAGCGACAGATCAGCTATTTTTCATAGAATTAAGGAGAGCGATAGCTCTGAACCTAAAGCTCGTTTTGAGCATGACATTGTACTGATTAGGCAGCTGCTTAATCAACTCATGCCTCAAAATATGACTGGGGTCACCTTGCTAAAGGTGTATAGACTAGGGAGTCTAACGGACTAGAAACCAAATCATTCCAGACTGCTTAAAGTAGTATTCGGCTCTTCAAACGAACGTGACCTAATTTTACAAAATGGACACAAATTAAAGGGTTCAGGAGTCTTTATCCGAAAGGACCTACCGTTGGCAGACCGTGTTAAAAGACGGGAAGCCGAGAAAGAACTACAACATAGGTTAGACGCTGGCGAAAAGGACCTGAAAATTGTAAATTTTCGGGTTGTAAGACTTCGACAGAGAATGATGCCGAAGCCACTCTGGGTGAAGCACGAAGGCACTTAAACAGGCTTCGGATCTGTTACACCAATACACGAAGCTTACTTAATAAGCGATCGGAACTAGGTGTACAGATTGACTCTACAAAGCCAGATATAATCGCAGTAACAGAAACCTGGCTGACACAGGCTATAGATAGTATAGAACTTGATTTCGAGGGCTTTACGTTAGTAAGGGCCGACAGAACACAAAAGCGCAAAGGAGGGGGAGTAGCTCTATTCATTAGGAATGCTATCCCATTTACCATTATCGATAGTGTATCCCATGAGAGTGGGACGTGTGAATTAGTTAGTCTTCGCTTAAAATGCAAGGGACAAGAGCTGCTGATTGGTTTGGTCTATCGCAGTCCAAGCTGTGAGGCAAATGAGATCCTGTTAAGCAGCCTCAATACTTGGTCCCAAAGTGGTCGATGTCTAATCCTAGGGGACTTTAATGCACCTATGGTAGACTGTGAAAATCTGCGAACTAAATCGTCGGAGAATTCTTTCGAGCAGGAACTAGTTGATGGGGTTATCACATGTGCTCTAGTGCAACATGTGAAAGAAGCGACAAGGTACGATCCGGACACTGAATCATCCTTATTAGATCTTATACTGACTCACTATGAGGATGATGTTGCGAACCTCCACCATATGCCACCCTTAGGTAAAAGTGACCACGCAGTTTTAACTTTTGACTTCCATATAACTGCCAGTCATGAGGACGCGTCAGTCCAGTCCAGACCCAACGTCTGGAAAGCAAACATACCAGACATCATGCACTCAGCATCGTTAATAGATTGGACAATAGACCCAGAGTCCTCCATTGAAACGGCCTGGGACGCATTTCGAAAATCATACTTAAAAGTTACCACACCTCACATCCCTTGGACTACACCAAAGGGGCCGAAAAACTCACCACCATGGTTCAGTAGGGAGGTCCGTATCCTTCTCCATAAGAAAAGGAAAACGTGGGATAGATTTAGGTTACTGGGGACTGATGAGTCAAAATCTCAGTATCGAAAGGCTCGGAACACTTGTGCCTCGACCCTCCGTAAGTCTAGAGAATTGTACGAAGAAAAACTTGTTAAGGAATCCATAGAATGTCCTAAACGCTTGTATTCCTATATAAACCAAAGGACAAGGAGAAAAGGAAATATTCCTGCTCTATGGGGAGACAGTACTGCTTCATCATTAGTGGAGGACGACTTTGGTAAGGCTCAAGCGTTCTCGAACTACTTTAGCAACGTGTATACCATAGAAGCGCCCTTCTCGTCAGCGTATACAGATCCCCCCATACATACACTGGATAGCGTGACCATTAAAGAACTCGATGTCTTTGGTCTACTAAATAAGTTTGACATAGGTAAATCCACGGGGCCCGATGAATTACATCCTAGGCTACTGAAGGAATTATCTAACTTCGTTGCGAACCCTTTAAGTACATGCTTTAACCTATCCGTTACGCAGGGTCACTTACCGAAAGATTGGAAAAACGCCATAGTAAGTCCTGTCTTCAAAACAGGCACGAAACACAAACCTGAGAACTACCGCCCCGTTAGCCTAACTAGTGTGGTTGTTAAAATATTAGAAAAGATTATTCGGAAGGAGCTGTTTAAGTATCTCGATAAAAACCGGATCCTCTCGGAGAAGCAGCATGGCTTCAGAATAGGTTATTCTTGTCTCACTAACTTATTAGTGGCTCGTGAAAGCTGGTGCGCTCTTAAGGACCAAAAGCTACCTGTAAACGTTGCCTTCATTGATTTCAGTAAAGCTTTTGATAAAGTTCCGCACAACCGGCTGTTATATAAGTTAAGACATGTCGGGATTGGAGGTAATTTATTGATGTGGATAAAAGACTTCTTAGTTGGGCGTCAACAAAGAGTAAGGGTGAACTCCAAATTGTCTAGCTGGGAAACCGTGCTTAGTGGAGTCCCCCAGGGTACAGTTTTGGGGCCAGTGCTATTCCTCTTGTATGTAAATGACCTTCCTTGTCTCCTATCATCATCGGTCTTGCTATATGCTGACGATGTCAAGATATGGAGAACGACACGATGTAAGAGTGATAGCTTAGAACTTCAAAATGACCTGAGGAAGTTATCTGAATGGTCTCAAACATGGCAGTTGCCGATAAATACTTCCAAGTGTGTTGTGATGCATATCGGTCATCAAGGCACAGATACATACACGATGAATAACACTGAGCTACCTGTCGTCCAGACATATAATGACTTAGGAGTTATCGTTAGTCAAGACTTAAAGACTACTGCACACTGCCGTGCAATAGCCGCCAAAGCGTTTAGAACCTTATGGTCAATACGTAGGGCTTTTAGTCATGTCGACACTAAGACGTTTTTGACTTTGTATACAGTGTTCGTTCGTCCTAAACTTGAGTACTGCATACAAGCGGCTAGCCCCTGCTTTAAAAAAGACAGAGAGCTCCTGGAAAAGGTTCAGAGAATGGCGACTAAGCTGGTTCCCGCAATAGCGAAGCTTCCGTATGAATCTCGACTGGCCAAGCTGAACCTTTTCCCGTTGTCATATCGCAGAACTAGAGGCGACTTGATTACAGTCTACAAATTGCTTAGTGATAAATTTGCACCTAACATGCCCTCATTTTTCTTGTCTTCCAAAACAGAGAATTTACGAGGACACTCCAAAAAAGTTCATAAGCCAAGAACAAATTACTTGTCAGCTGACTATCGACTTTCCCACCGAATCATCAACGAGTGGAATTCACTACCTCAGCACGTGGTTGAGGCTCCATCCGTCGACTCTTTCAAAAGAAAGTTGGATCAACTGAGAGACCACCATTGCCAGGACTAACATAGGCCATCGAGCCTCCTGTCCTTCCCAAACTGAAACTGAAACTGAAACTCTCTTCTGGTTGGCTAATGTTCTCAAGGTCACTTAAAAATACTTTCAAAGGTCGTCTATAAAATAGTTTCACAAGCAGAGTAGCAAAGGAGTTAATTGTCACTTTTATACCTCCTAGTAATAAACATATAGCTCCAGAGGAAACACTGCTTCCCGTTTGAACAAATAAAGATAAACGTTAAACAATATATTGGGGTGTGAAGGAAGTCCAGAAGCCAAAAAGCCATATTTCGTTATTAAATTAAATATACTAACCTTGCTTAGAACATTCAGAAATATAAATGAACACCACACCTTAGCTAGACAGATGCTTTGCAATAAAACAGTGACGGAATATCTTTTAAGCCGGTCAACGATGAAATGACTGATTGAAGAGCAGATGAATGAAGGGTCATAAGTCAACTTGTTTGACATGATGTATTCAATCACACCGAACAAGCAAACTATTTGAAGCTGCTCAGCAACCAGACCTGAAAATCTACATAAGTAAAATAAATTAGGTATCACCTTCTGCTTTGGTATCCTCAAATCCCGCTAATGTGAATAACATATAAATATCTACACAAGAAACTTAGCAACAAGTAATATACAGACCATTAATGACCAGAGAAGTTAGTTCTGACAAACTTATGTTGTGCAAACGCCTGACAAAGTAATCGATTATAAACCTCCCAAGAGATAACTTTTCTGTAGAAGGTTTCTGAAATAATAAATTTGATCACAAATAAGAACAACATACGCATTCGAGTAAGAACTTTATAAGTTCGCAAAAATCAAATGCGTTACCATCATCCTTCGACAGATAAAGCTTTAGCTCCTATAAACAACTATAACACAGGACATAATAAAACATACGTTGATCTTCCTGAGTTCATGCATATCACCAATTTTGATGAGACAATAATAGGTGTTACAGGTTCTCGAGAGCGATTTTGTTTTTTAACTGTGAATAGTTCATACTCGAATCTATTTTGCGTACAGCATGTGTAGGATTTACAAATTACTTGCTAATAACTCCTATACATTTTCTCAGGAGCTATTTGTGAGATGATATCTTACGCAAAAAGGACGAAGTAGCGCACATAGTTGTATCTTTATTCCTCAAGCTCAAGGATTTTCACTTTTCAATTTTCACCAAACAAATGTAGTCAACAAAATGTTGTTCAAACCGATATCCCAAACTTCAAAGTTATGTCTGCTGGTAGAAATACCCCTGTCTTTCTCTTGTAGATAAAGTGTTGTTTTCTTTAGTAATACTGTTCTTGTAAAGTTCACTCAACAGTGCTTAAGTGCTGAAGATAATCCTATGATGTTCAATGTTTGGTCAGTTTGCAGCAAGCTTCAAGGAACCTTATTAGCTGTACGAGTGTTAAGGGCTGTGATATCATCCGGAGAGAAAAAGAACAAGAAAAAGAGTTAATCAACGACTCAATAAGTTCTCACATTTTATAACGAAAGCATTCAACAATGATAAAAAATAACACGAGTGTGAAACCGGTGTAGTCTGGTGATCAGACAAGAAGTTGATAGCGTTAGACTGAGAACACTCGATGATTTTACTGGCCGAAAAAACCATCGATTTTTCGACTTTGTCACTGCGACTGTGAGAATTATAGTAACTACGATCTGACGTGGTCTGTGGGGATGTCTCCAATGAATAAATGATATGTCTTTCGGAAGAGTCACTCGCATATTACAAATATGTCAATTATGTTAGGTGGATAGACTGTTATTCATATTTAATGCAACGTTTGGGTCTATCTTGTGAAATGTTATTTTCGTCTAATTCCCCTTAATAGGGCCGCTGTTTGTAGATCATAAACATAGGTGACATGTGTCAAATGATTGATGGCCTACTCGGGTTAGACGGCAATGTTGTGACGAACCAGATAATGTCAAAGTCACACCTTGTGATTAGCACCTAATATTGATCACTCTTTCGTCGTGCCAAGGTCCTAAAGTTGCTTTGAAGACCATATAATACAAACGACGTTACCACAGGAACATATTCGTAAAAGTATGTACAAAGAACAGGGTACGACTATCACATGGGCCAGTTCATGGAGTGCAACCAACTAATGTGTGTTGTCGTCCTTGACCTTGACGAGGATCGATGAGCTGTTCGACATTCAGTGACCCGACTGCCACATGATTTGGCTGAAGCGCAGTGATATTTCACTGGCCCAACAAGTTCTTCAAAAGCGAACCAAAAAAGGACGACAATGATTATGCTAGTGTCCAGTAAAAAGCTCTACTGAGGGTAATTAACCTGAGGCATGCTCATTACAAATGGAACAAGGAGATATTATCATGACGTATCATGCTACTTATAGCAGACAGAATACACCCATTAAGACATTAAATAAAAAAGATTACTTCAGCAAAGATTCCTCTTTTCAGCGAATTCATTTTCAAAGCTGTACAATCGCGAATATATATACTTATTTTTTAAAAATGATAATAATACTGATAGTAAACTTCTGTTAGACTTGGTGACAGTGAGGTTAAATAAACATAGTTATTTTAAAAAATTTTAACATCCACTCTACCAGGTCTCTAATGTGACAAAGGTGACTTTTCTTAAGAAACCAACAGTCAACTATTTCCACAAAACGATATTGCAAGTTCGATGATGTTGTAGAGTCAGTCTGTAATTGATGTAACGAGCTCCACTGATCGTACATCACTACAACAGGATCATTTATGTTGTCGTTAGTTTTAACTAACACAAGTCAAACGCCCTTAAAGATATCTTCGAATTTTATATTCACTTATAGGAGATCAACTTCTCAAAGCAAATTGAATAAACCTCAAAATGTGGCAGACAACAGTAGGCTAACATGAAGTTCCTAAATCATTGGGGACCAACAGCATCATATGCAGTATGTGAAACTGCTAGTTATAAGCGTCACTGGTATAAAACATATGTGCGAAATAACTTTCCACTGTCTGAAGCCTAGAACAAACGTGACGAAACTACTCCTCTAAACAATTTGCCGACTTTATAGTTTTGAAGTTTTTGAATTATTCTACTACACGCGTAATCATTCATAGCAGATAGCGCCTTTCATACAATCATGGGGACCGCTTATCCCATAGGTAAGCATATAGGCCCGAAGGTAGACTGCTGGGAGTCAACTGATGACATGCTATTAAAATGTCGAGGGTTATTTCCATACTTTGCTTGTTTATTATATCCCCCATCATCCTCTGTTAGATGAAGAAAATTCACATATTATTATTTTTCACAAACATCTTATGGATACATAAGTGTTATGAAGAAACCATTTCGGGTTTCTTCAAAATTGCAATAATACGCAAGTTTCAAAAATTTCAGCATTTTATTTGCCATATTTGAAAAGGAGAATAATAATGATAGAAGAATAGTAAATCAGGTTCTGTGTAACTGAGAAGAATATTGAATTGAGTTTAAAGAAGGAAATAGAGAAAATAAAGTAATGGAAATCAGGGAGACGTACATTTAAACTGGGTCCATTTCTATCCATTTTCAATCAGTAAACGTTATGAACAGACAATGAAAGTCTTTTCCTGACCTGATAACTAAAAAACCTCTTCCGAGTCAAAACTCGCCTTGCAACCCGTGGTGGTGTTTATATACTATAACCCGTAATTTTATGAAATGTCGTCTTCCACAAACGTTTTTAGCCACTCTAGCTAACGGATAGCCGTGTTAAAACTTTGCCATGATTTCGGCTTTCGTAATTCGTGGTCAAACAACTCCGAAGTGACCAATCATATGGTTTAACTAATGATTTGTTACTCCCAAAAGTGGTTTGTTTCTTACAGGCTGTTTCCTTCGACGCTAATACAAATACTCCAACTCATGATAGCACAATTTTTCAGGAACTTGCCAGGTAACTATTGTTATATCCAAACTAAGGTTTGGACTGAAGAATAGCTGTCTAAGTGGGTTAGATACGCGCCCTTGCGCGGTTGAAACCAAAACAAAGTGATTGGGTAAAGTGACAGTTCTGAAATTCATCATAGGTTTGAATGTACATTGTTACCTAAAAAATATGACCACCCGGCTCTTCATCCAGTAATTATTCAATTAATCGAATCTAAATTACAATAGATTAGGAAGTTGATAAAGGATGCGGGAAAATTGCCATTCACGACAAACAAATGTTATTCTATCCTGTCTGGATAGATCAAGCACAGATTCGTTCAAAAGATAGTTTTTGGTTGCTTTGTAACACAGATTGTTTCCAATTCTAGAGGAGTGCTTCAATTCACAATCAAAAACGCACAATTCCAGTCAATACAAGTAACACAATCAAAGGGAGGAACAAAGCAATATGACTGCCGCCAAGACTAAATATCAAGTAAAAAAACATAAATGCAGTTCAGGAATGAACATAGAAACTTAGTGAAGGCGTAAGAAAAATAAAAACTATAGTAAAATGCAAATATTAACAATTAAAATGGGATCAAAAAGACTGACAAAATGTACAACTAAAAGAATTAATAGGAACAAACTGCAAGTGTATACTTGTAGCGATTTTCACACAAAAAACATTCAAAATGGATCTTACAGTTATAACAACGCATTGCAAACAAAACTGGTACGAACCATTTTTACGGACATGATCAATAATTCACAACACTGATTTACATATATTCTTCTAAAGTCGGGCTGTTTTCAGTAGACAAAACCAATAGAAACGAATGGAATATTATATATTAGCGCATATTCATCGGCGGATTATTGATTAGGTTTATGTGTTAGTACTGTACTGCGGGTGCAGCTTATACGATGTTTCAGTAATGTCATCTTGTCCAAGTTGTGACCCTGGTAAACACACATCATGTTCAAGCTCAGCATTCGTGCGTTGAAGTTGGAAAACAATAACAGCATTCCATTTGATGAACTGATATAATTGTCTTCCTCGAACTCATCATTACCAACCGAGATACGTGGATACAATGAGTGGGTGTTTCCTATCTTCATAAACTTGGTACCAAAAATCAGAGTTTATCTGGGACACCACAACCTCGAAAGAGCGATGTGCTATGGATAATTCTACAATCCGAAAGATCGCTCGGCCAGGGGCTCCGAATCACCGATCGACAACCGTTTGGTCGAACAGTCTGTGCAAATCCGATGCTACTTGCGGAAAACACCCCCAAATATGCTCATAAACGATTACAAGCTGTAGTGCCTTCCAGAGTCGTCACGTCTATCAATGATCCTGTACCTACAATACACCAATAATCAGTCACTTCTCTGTGTAAGACATAAGTACTAGATCTGCTGCCTAAAACTGCACAAGCCCCCGAACTTCCTTTGATGCTGTAGCAACATAGGTTGATTAGTTGAGCGTTAGCCACAAACATCCAAGCAATTGTGAGAACATTAAGGCTTGAGTACTCAATTACTTCCTTTTTTGTATAGGGATCATATTTACTTTTTGTACCTTAATAGTTTGTACAGACAGCAAAGTAATTCCTCAAGTTTGACTGACTTTATTCGTTTTTATCGAAGCAAATCCTTTTCTACCTTTGACATAGGGGGGACATGGTAGTCTGCTAGCAGCACTTCATCGGAGATTTCATTACATGTAAGTTTGCAGATCTAAAATTCACGTTGAGTATTGTGAGAAATGAAGTAAGGTCATTAGAACTTTACTGTTACAATGGAACTGATAATATGTGGCTGAAAAATAAATTTATATTGAATATTAATTATTTCACTGAGTTTTGGCATGTTTGTTTCACTGAACTTCTGAACTTTTTTGTTCATATCTTTGCTCCAGAAAGCTAAAAAACGGAAGGTTTGCCTTGTAACTGTTGTAATTGTTATAAAAACAATATTTGCGTTGACTCCTTGTAATTTCCAAATAAACTTTGGCGGACAAATTAAAGTCTGATTTTAGTGTTATTTGGGAACGTAAGTTACAAGTAGATCGATATACTGTGCTTCAATAACGTAACACTTACGGAAGCGGATATTATAGAATACTGGCTAATTGGACTAAATATAGTGGTGCAGATATTCTCATCTTCCTTACTAAAATATTTAATCTGGACTCTGAGTCGGTTTACTTTCCCTTAGCTACGCAAGACCACATACATTATCCTGTACTGAAAAACGGA